TTCTCGCCACTGAATCGCGCCATCTTGGACTCTATCTGCTACCCAATTCACCCTGTTTACCTAGCGACCACATCTGCTCTATCTGCACCTGTACAGGTACGGAGCACCATCCTCGGCCCAAGTTGTCTTTCTGCAGAGGGAGTATATCTGCCGTCTCCTTTTACTTGAGGCCATCGCTTCTTTTGGCAACACGCGTTTCCATTCTTCTCAACTTGCTTGGCTCTCGGCCCGGTCATGTTTCGTATACGATGCTTTCGTCTCATTTCACACGCTCGCCCTGTTCCACTACACATCGAGTCAAAGAGCTTCGGCTTCGGCCCCAGTCTTTCGAGGCGTCGTCACCCCCGGTGCGTGCGTGGCCCAGTGGGTCTCAGCACCTGGTCTAGCTTTCCTTACCAACAACATCCGTCACCCATGCAGTCATACTCACCATTACCCCCCCTTACCCTTCTACCCTCACCCTCGTCTCACCTCACCCCCCCAGCACTGGCAACACCGACACCAACAGCGTGCCCGTACTAAAAGCTTAAACGATTTTGGACGCCCTGGGACGCCACGACCATCTCTCATTGACCCTCTCTCCGCCCTTTTCTCCATCTCCCTTCCGCCTGAACGGCCGCCATCCGCGATCCGTTGGAGCCGAGTTGCCGGTCACGAGCAAGCCTGTCTCCTTCAGGATATCCACGCCCGAAGGCCCCCAGCCAGAGGCGTCTCGAGACAAAACCGCTCTTCGTCCACGTAACCCGCGCATCCTGTCTAACCTTTTCCACCTTCTCTCGCGATCCCTTTCCCTTGGACACCAGCAAACTGTTTCTTCAACGTCCACTCAATCCTCTACGATCCCTTCAGCAATTGCTCTTCGTACACTCGTCTCCGCGCAACGAAACATAACCGTCATCTTTCGGAATCTGGCCCGAGGCGCCCGCTGCGAGTTCGAGCGTTGAGGCTCAGCCACCAATACCTTGTGTGCACTTTGCATGCAAATGTATGTTGCTCTCGGTCCTCTACCCACCACGTAACTTTTCCTCCCAAGTTGTTGGTTCTTTTGTATCTGCATTATTTTAATCGGCAAAGTTTGGCATTGTTTGCCATTCGAATCTCGTCCCTCCCTACTTCATCTGTTTATTAGCGACTCAGGGCATTCATTGGACTGCCCAGCCTTACTCAGGTTGGTACACGATGTGTGCAAGTGCTGCTTCGTCACCTCAGAACCTACAAGGCCTGCGGTCTCGCTTCGGGCGAGCGGGCGGTCTTGCCCTGGAAGCTGCATGTCGGTTTGTGTCAGGATATTATTGGCAGCCAAGCCGCCTAGGATGGCCCAGTTGGCCTCTTGTACCCTCATCGTCCTTGGCCCGCGCTGGTTCACCCATTTATGAACACAATTGCCATTGTTCAGGGCACGAGATGTCTTCTTGATGTCTGGCACCCTCGTGGGCTATTGATCTTTTATTTTATTTTCATATCGAAATACTAATTTGCATCTCTCATTAGCGACATTATATTCCCAAGGTCCTCAGGCCCACAGAACACGCGGAATCGCCGCCTTCCCGCAGGACGTTTCAGCCTGCTCAGATCAAGCAACGTTTGCCGTCAGGCTCGTCTCGGCTTGCTTTAATAGGGGAGCCACTAGGACCTTTGCTCCTCACAGGCTCGGGTCACCACGGTATACCCTGGTGCGCATCACTGTCTTTAGACCTCCAACTGTGCTGTCTGCGAGCTCGTATTGTTGCAAAATCGACCTTGCACCCAAAGCCGCGCGGAATCTTGTCCTCGCATTGCTTTCTCTACACTGCTTAAAGTCCTCGTCATCGCAGACCTTGGTGCCTCGGCGGGCCTAGACTTCTTTTTTCACAACTTGAGTCGCAACAGCCCATCAGTCGGGCACACATTAACCACCATGGAAACGTATCATGGCTATGTGCGGACCCCCGCCGATGCAATCAAGCTATTCGAGGCTTGCCGATTAGGTCTCCTCCCCCGAGTCCAACGAAGGCTATCAGAGAAGGAGCGACAGTCTATCAGATCCGGCTCGGTATTTGTCTGGGATGAACGCGAGGCTGGCATGAGGAGATGGACTGACGGCAAGTCCTGGAGCGCCAGCAGAGTATCGGGCAGCTTCCTCACTTACCGGGAGATGGAGGGCAAACGCGGCAGCGGCTTTGGCAACGGTCGTAGGGGCGCTACCAAGACTCCCGATTCGGGTCGAGGCAGTGACGAAGACCAGGAGAATGGCGAGCCTGAAGGTTACCGATACAAAGCCGACGGTCTCATGAAGCAGTCATTTAGCATCACGACATCAGCTGGTCAGCATCTCCACCTCATCTCCTATTATTCCAGGCCGCAACCTGGTTCGCCAGACCTCCTTCAGCCCAGTACCGATTCTCAGCTGCGCAATATCACACCAGTCAAGGGAATGTACCCCGAATCCAGCCTCCATGATAGCAACCCAACCCCTGCCTTGACACGGGCACCTATGGTCTCTCAGCATTCGCCGTATATGGTTCCTCAGCATGCTCCGCAGGGCCTGCCTCCTCAGCCATACGCCTCCCAATACGCACAGCATTCACAAGGCTATGCCTGGCCGCCCTCGCCCGTTGCCACGCCGCCTTATAGTCATCATTACACTGCAACTCCTTACTCCCAGCATCCGCAACAAGCACCAGCAGGCGCCCAAGCCCTGCCGCCTCCACATTCTCTGACAGGACACCCTCACGCGGCTGCCCATGGTCATCACTATTCGCAGCATCCGCCACAGCCAGAGCGGACAGCCCTACCGCCGCTCAATTCACATCAGAAGCCCCTCGCTCCGTCGCCTTATCAGTCACAGCAGCAGTCACCGCGTATCTCACATGCTCAGCACAGTCATCGGCTGGACGGCTCGCCGCGACTTGCGCATCTCCAGGCGCAGGCGGCGCAAGCTGTTGGCATTGACCCGGCGGGGAGCCACTCCAGTCTTCGCAACTCGAACACTCTTCCTGCTGTCAAGCACGATGGCACATATCCTCCGACTTACACGCCCCCAAACCGAGCTCTTTCCATTTCACCGCCTCGCAGCTCACACTCGGACAGCCATGTCAATAACGGCGTCTCTATCTCACACAGCAACAAAGCCAGCCTCTCAGCGCTTCTCCATCCCGCGCCAGCCGGCATTGATACGGCTGGTGCTCTTCCTCATGGGGTGACTGGAGCAGGTAGCCCGAGTGGTTCTCCTCGCACTATATCGGCGCCATCAGAGCGGCCGGGCGGCATGAGCCACGACGCCAAGGCGCTACAGATGTTGGACAGGAAGTTCTGCATCTAGAGTCAGTAATTTTCACTGGAAGATGCGTCCGTGGCTCTTTTTCTTTTTAATCTTTTCTTTTTTGAAATCTCCCGCATTGCCGTGGCGTTACTTGATTTTCTAAAGGAATGATGTTCTCGGTCAACAGACGCATGAGCACGAATGGGAAGGATGGTCCAGCATCGGAGGGCAATTGAAGGGCGTTTTCTAGTGGGATTGTTGCTCATGTAGGCTTGGGCGAGCTTTGGAGATAAAAGATGTGTTCATAGCCATTCAGTATACATCGCCCAGTCTGCTCTTGTCTGCAGATGGGTATCCACCATATGACCGGACAGATGTCTGTGCTTCTTTCTTCCGGTCCCTATACGCATCTTGACTATGATAATGTCATGACAGGCTGTTCCAGCACCAAAATTCTAGAATGAATAATGCAGATGCATGACAAATCGCGTTTACTCGTCGTCTCAATTCGAGAGGCCATCATCCCATCCACAAGTGGGTGCGTGGGCTGGCTCGGCTCGAGATGGCCAAGCAGCAACCCTTGACACCCAGACACGCAACAGGAGGTCTTCACAGGTTTCAAACAGGCTAAACCTGCCCTGCGACGTTAAGGATCGACGGTACATACTAGGGGACGTGCGAGTCTCTATTGCGAGTAATTGCCCCTGAGGCGACTCTGATTTTGACATGAGGTTTGGTTGGTGGGAGTATTTAAAGTATGCTCGCTATTTCTGGGGTGGTCGATCTTACAAGTCGAGGGCAGCTCAGGTACTGAAGGTCCGTGCGCATTGACCAACTCCCTTTCACAAAGGAGCCTGTCGACAGTGATTCAGGTCCAGGAGGATTTATTTGCGAGTGCCAATTATTTAATGTTGCGGATGCTGGGTGGCATCTTTCGTCGTCCTAGATCACTATGCGATTCGAGTCTGAGAGTGTAGAAGTGAAGTTTTCCCACCAAGTCTCAGGAATGATCATACTAGCCCAATTTATTTTACACAAATGGCTGTCAGAATGGCGATGCAATCGTAGGCTTCATTGAGGAAGCGTATGTATTTGATGTTGAGTTTTCGCTTGTATATTCGCTGCCAGGTGCCGTGGAAAGTTAGCATACCGATCGGGCCTCGTGAGGGAGTCAAAGGCATGACATCCAACGATCAGTTCTCCATCACGACCTCAAGGGTCAGCCCAGAACTGACGTCTTGACTGTAGTACTTTATACAATAGCATCCTTGGGATCTCGCCTGATTTTCGAGCTGGAGCTTGAATCTTTCGTACCCAGTTCCAACTGCCATGCAGTGCTATGCACTACCTGTGTACACCAGCATAGGTTGAATGGTGGACAGGGCACGACGGGAACCGAGATGTCTGATTCGATTGCTAGGCCGACGTGGTCGATAAGGCGGCAACAATGAGGCACGTCAATAGAACTCTATGAAGATGCGTGAAATCTATGAAGACCTTCTGTTAGTGGCGCGTGACTTTCGCGAGGGCTGAATGGCACCTCGTGAGGTTCGTCGCCATAGTTCGCGTCGACCTTCCGTTCAAGACCCTGGACTGACTCGCTACGACCTTCCTCCCGAATTCCATGTTCGCGACTTACACGTTCATGAGAAAACATATATCTAATGATTTGAGTATAAAGCGATGTCTGGGAAACATTCACTCATAGTGGAAGATGAAGCAATAATACTCTCGGCTCTTCATACTATATATACCAATCATGAATGTCAGCAACATCAACATCGCCGATGCTTCCATTGCACAACTTCTTGGGGCCCTCGCTTCCAGGAACACCACGTCTGTCGAGCTCACTACCTTGTTCCTCCACCGTATCGGTCGTTTCGACTTTCGTGGCCCTCATCTGAACTCCATCTGTGTCCTTAATCCAGATGTACTAGCCGAAGCCCAAGCTTCGGACGAATACCGCGCATCAGGGAAACCGCCCCGCCCCCTCGAGGGTATACCGTTCACAGTTAAGGACAGCTATTGTACCAAAGGGCTTGCCGTCGCTGCGGCCTCTCCAGCATTTTCAGGTCTTATCGCCACCTCCGATGCCGCTATCGTAGCATCGCTACGCATGGCGGGCGCAATCCTCCTTGGCCGCACGAACATGCCCCCCATGGCTGACGGCGGGAGTCAGCGGGGGTACTTCGGGCGCACCGAGAGTCCCTATAACCAGGAATATATGTGCACATCATACGCTTCGGGGTCCTCCTCGGGTTCGGGTGTCGCTACAGCGGCAGGCTTTGCGCCCATTGGGCTCGGTAGCGAGACCGTTTCCTCAGGACGCGCGCCGGCGTCGATCAACGGCATCGTCGGGGGTACTCTCCTTCCTGGGGGGCTGTCCCTTGCAGGGGTGTGTGGCCTTTGTACCCTACGTGTGATGTTTTGACACCACACACTAAAACCGTTGAGGATATGTTGGCTGTCTTGGACGTCATCATGACAGACGAGGCCACGTCGGATGGGGACTTCTGGAGGACACAGGAGACGATTCAGATCCCCAAATCATCCGAAATCCGCCCAAAGAGCTTCTTCAGTCTCATGGACCCTACAGCATTGAAAGGAAAGCGACTAGCCGTCCCCAGGTGGTATATCGGCAAAGGAACTACATCAGCTGGGGATGCTCCTGCATTTGCCGACTCTATCCGGGCTCTGTGGCTCCAGGCTAAAAAAGACCTGGAAACACTGGGCGCGAGCATCGTTGAAACGGATTTTCCCCTGGTGGAGAATTATACCAAGCAGCACTTTCCCGGTCAGGCTGCCCATGTTCCCGGCATGCCGGAGGGCTGGATTGATATCGAACGATGCCAGATGATCGCTCTTGGTTGGGATAACTTCCTCCGCACAAACGATGCACCGAACTGCAAGACATTAGCTACTGTCGACCACAAAAAGATTCGGCCCTTCTACGCGCCCTTGGACGACCCTCGCAAACACACCGAGGCTCAAAACCATGTCCGATACGCCGACATGATTGAATACATCCGCCATCGCCCAGAATCGATTCATGACCTTCCGGGATGTGCTGAGGCCCTCCGCTCCCTTGAAGCTGCACGGAAGCGAGATCTCGATTCTTGGCTCGATGAGCACGGCTGTGATGCAATTGTTTTCCCAACCAATGGAGACGTCCCCCGCGCCGATGCCGAGGAGGTGCTCTCGTCCATGCAGCACGCGCTGCGTGACGGCGTCAAGTATTCCAATGGCACGCGAGCACTGAAGCACATGGGTGTTCCGGCCATAACCGTACCCATGGGTATTATGGCAGACAAGCAAATGCCCGTCGGGCTGACCTTTGCTGGCAGGGCTTACACCGACGTTGACCTTCTGAGATATGCATATGCGTTCGAAACGGCAACGCGACATCGAAGAAGCCCTCCGCTGACTCCATCGTTGTCATCAGATTCTCTGGCGAGCTCATTACGATCGGAACATCCGCCAAGTCATGCTCAAGCTGCTAATCTCACAGTTAACGTCGTCAGTGTCAACGCCGAGGCGATCGGAGACATCGAGGTGCGACTCGTTCATCTCGAGGGGACATGTTCATCCAGTGAGCCATCCTTTGAAGTCGAAAGTATCAAGGTGTTCTCCAATGGTGAGCCTTCGGCTGCAGTCCGATTGACAGGTAATCGGTGGACATGGCAGGGCCGCCTCAAAAAGCGCCAGCACCATGAGAAGTATCCGTCAGAAGGATGGCTTCCGCGAGATCAATTCATGATCGTCATCGTGGCCAAGGCTTTGAATGGGCGCTCGACGGCAGTCATGCGGTTGATAAACTAAGGTGTGACTGGATGGAATCTCAATCGACACCGGCTTGCGAGGTGTGAGACGATGGATGGGCAATCTACAGGCTCAAGTAGCGAGTGCGCTAAGAGATTACTTGGTGGAATTAGTTCACTCGAGCCGTATAAGAATGCGGGGCTGGGAGCTTCGATTTCATAATAAATTCCTCCCCTGATCTGGCATCGACATCTGTTCATCCGACTTTGTGTTCCCTGCCAGCATGTCCAATCCGCGCATGCCCAATGCGCTCCCGATCGAGAACGGGCTGTTGGACGTGTCGCCTGCGACACGTCAAATGCGATGCAGCGTCGCCAACCTGTGAGGAATGCAGCACCAGGCATGTCGTTTGTCATGGGTATGGCCAGCGCCCATCATGGATGGATGGCGGCGTCAAGCAAAAAGAGGAAACGCAACGCATCAAGGCAGCCGTCAAGAAAAACTTCAAGCAGCTGAGACGGCAACAGGTCAGAGCTGCGCAGACTCGTAGTCTGGAGACGGCCAACGAAAGGTCCGCCACCGCAGACGGGCCGTTGTCCCAAGCAGAAACTGGCGAGGAGGACACCACATTACAGAAGGAGGCTAGTGCCATCACCCCTCATTTTCTGTTACCAGATGATCCTCTCTCCGTTGACTTCCCTTTCTCAGATGATCTAGCCGCGTTCCTGGGCCCAGTACCAGAGTCGGAGGACAGCACCAGGAAACACTTTGCGCCATCTTATGAGGAGTCCGAGCTGCTCATGTACTACCTCGACCGCATTTTCCCCATGCAGTATACTCATTACTCAAATCGAAAATGGGGTCGGGGCTGGCTGTTTTGGTTATTGAACAAGAACGGGCCTTTGTACAAGGCTGCGTTGAGCCTCGCTGCGTTGCATAAGCACTCACTGATGTGTGCTGTTAACGAAGATTTGAGGCATAACGATGTGCTACTAGAGTATCATACCAGCGCCCTCAGAGGCCTGCAGGATTTCATTGGACAGCCTCAGGGTTACGCCATCTTTAAGGATGACGAGGACTTCATCGAGGTGATCGCTTGTGGATCGGCGCTGATCAGCTTTGAGGTAAGTCAGGCTCGCCGAATAACACGACCGTATTGTCAGCTCAGCTTCGATGCAGGTCTTTCGAGGCGGTAAGGGCGACTGGCAGCCGCACTTGCAAGCAACAACAGCCATTATGAAGACGATGAACCTCTCTCGGTTGGTTTCCCATGCCTCTGGCTGGATAGAGTCCTTAGTGTCAAGCTCGGCTAGGGAACGGCGGGGTATCGATGCTGCGCTATCCTTCCACGCGCCCGTACTTTTATGGATGGACCTACTGGCTTGCGCTTCGACTGGCAACGTCCCATACCTCCCCTATGAGACGTGGCTACAGATGGAAGGATTCGACATGACCAAGATCATGGGTTGTCAGAACTGGGTCATGAAAGCTGTTGGTGATTTGGCCGTGCTCGAGGAGCGAAAGGTCAGCCTCGAAGGTCAGACGGAGGACGCGTTGATGGTCTGGATGGGTCGGGCCAGGAAGATCGGGGACGAGTTGGAGGCGGGCATGGAAGGATTGGACCTTCGAGACGAGGCGAACAATCCAGCCAGTCATGTGACTCGTATCTTCGCGACGGCGGCGCTCGTGCAACTATACGCGACAAGAGCGAGTCTGGCACTGTCTGAACCGGCCGAGGGCCAGAGAACCGTGGCCCGCGTCATTGGCGAGATTCGGCGCATGCCACGAGCTACATTATCGATCCGTCAACTCACGTGGCCCATCTGCGTTGCAGGAAGCATGGCGGCGCCACATCAGCAGGCATTTTTCGAGGATCTGGTGTCCGAGGTTCTCGTTGAATCGGATGCGTCGTTCGGAAACTGTAAGACGGTGAACGAAATCATACAACAGTGCTGGGATCACCGCAATCTTCACCCTGGACAGCACTGGGATTGGCGGAGGGCGATGGCTGACATGGGCATATGCGCACTGCTCATCTAAGGTACCGAAGCAAGCCAAAGAAATGCCCACGGCGTTCCAGTTTTCAGGGCACATGGTGTGCTATCGGCACTCGTGTCCAACTGCCTACCTAGGTAGGTTAAGGTACCTACATAGAGGCGTTGTGTGGTGATGAGAGTTGGCTGTCTTGGATCCTCGATCATTGGTGGGAGAAGCAAGTGAGGCAGCCGGCGGTTCGCCTTGCTGCGCCGCTGCCTAAAATTCCACAAGACCATCAGGCGAGCCGTCATCGCGCCTGCAGCATCGCACCCCAAGGCCGTGTTCGAGTCCGTTTGAGTCTCTTGTCCACTTTCAATACCTTCTACTTGCGGCTGTCTGTCAAATTTGCAGCTGCTGCTCAATCGCACTGCTGGCTTTGTCGCATATGATTCTCGCTGACGCGCTGTCTAGCGCTCCCTTTTCTTCAACTTGACTGCGGAAGCTACAATGGAATCTACCCCCATGAGGCAGTTGCTGAAGAAGCGCAAACGGGACCACCAGGCGGTCAAGGGACCGACACCACCCTGCGTCGTCGAAACCCTGATACCACGTGCAACTGCAGGGCCCTTTCCCCTTCACAACCATCAGTCGCTATCCGACTGGCAGACGACAGAACCTGCCACAATCTCCCGGAGCGATGTGTACCACGTAGTCCATCCTACCATATACACTGCCGATGTTGACTCTTCTTGGACTCATGGTCTTGTTCAAGAAGAACCAACGATTGCCAACCCTGAGCCTGTCGGATGCGGACCCAGGCCTCTCGGACTTGATGTGTTGAAGACATTGGGCCATGACTACCCGAAAATCAGCACGTACAGTCCCCGAGGAGCTGTCAGCAGAGTCAGCTCCATCGCGCCGTCAACAATTTCGCAGCTTTCCTCGACCGGATCAGGTTCCGGCTCCGTTCTGTCGCCTGTCTGTACAACATCTTCCGCAGACTGGATCGCAGCTGGATGGGATGCCTATTCACGCGGACCAAGCCCATGCGACCAGTCTGCTACCCCCGCCGTGGTCAGCGAGGGGAAGACCGTCGACATTATCCCACACACTGTCCAGAAACATTGCCATCTGCAGTCCTTCGGCGCGCAGTGGCCTTCAAGAAGTCAATCTCAGCAGCAGCAGACTCACACTTGTAATTGGACCGGCTGCAGTCAGCCGAGCTTCTCTTTCAAAGACGGCCTCGCGTGGCACGTCAAACTCGAACACCTGGTTGTCTGTCCTGTCCCTGGATGTCTCGAGGATACTTTACAGAGCGTGAAAATGCTCGAATCCCACATCAGATGCGCTCACCCTGCATCTTGGAAGCAGCGTCATGGAGACGAAGAATCGCCCGAGACACCGACAGGCATGGAAGATCGAAAGACAACAACACCGTCGCCACACCTCCCTAGCAAGACACCTGAATTAGACGTTTCCGCCCAACCACGCAATCGACTTGACAAGGACAAATGTTACGCCCGATCTGTTGATGCGGTGAAGAGGCGGTGCCGCGGGCAGTTGTTTGATCTTGTAATGAAAAAAGCAAGACTTAAGGGTTCGTCAATCATCATGTCATTCAAATTAGTGCTCTTGCTGATATGGAAGCGCCAGGCGGATTGGCGTCGCCAAATACCCTTCAGAGGCTTGTTGAAAATGTGAGCTTCCCGATCATTTGGGAACATGGCGTGTTGCCTTTCCTCATCGAGTTCGTCCCGTCATGGTGCGGGCCCAAGCATACCATAAGCATCACCAGGGGCAGAACTCAAGGCACTCGTCGTATCTGTATCATGACAGAGAAGCCCGTCTCCAGGGTTCGGCGTGTAACAATTGCCGGCCATGTCTGTGATCTTCTTCCGGAGACCCATAAGATGACTGTGAGCTTTTTATTTTCCACCGGTGCTGTTGAAAGGCTTGTCTGGGCACGGGGCCTAGCTAGCGATATGCCAGACGAGACCTGCCTGCCTCGCAACCCATTCTACTTCAGGGAACCCTGTATGGGGGACAGTATTGGCATCGAGGGCACCCGGGCCTACGACGACAGCACAGCAACACTAGGTCCCTGTGTAATAGTTGGGGGTGGTGCCTACTGGCTCGCCAACTTCCATCCGTTCATCAACGCCTTCCATCACACCCAGGCAGTTGCTGTTCAACATCCATCTCCTATGGATCGTGAACGCTGCATGGTAGAGGAGCACGATACCTTGCCACTCGAGGTAGACTTCTCACTTGGTAAGCTGACTGCCACGTCTGGTCTCGACCTGGAAACTACTCGGGTGTCCCACGACCCTTACTGGGACGAGTGTGGCAAGGAGCCCCCTCTTATTGTGACCGACTGGATTCTTATCAGTTCTCTTTCTCGAAACGCGAACGTATTGCGACGCTTCCCCTCCGAAACTATGCCACTCATGAAGCAGGAAGTCATAAAAGATACAGCCCCAATCACACCAGGTGCCATCGTCTACTCAACAGGGCGGACATCAGGCCCACAACGGGGTCAGATCTGCGAGGTGCCTGCCTATGTCTCAGCTGCGTCCAACGGTACAGGCAAAGCCACCAGAGAATGGTTTATTGAGGAGCTCCTAAGTGAGGACGAACCAGAAGACGATGAATGGATCCGTGGCGGCATGGGCTGTCCAGGCGACAGCGGCGCTGCCATCGTGGACGCTGAATCTAGCGCATTACTGGGCCAGCTCTGGGGCCGAAATGCATACTATGGTCCTGGTCCGCGCGTTGCATACTTTACACCTGTCACGGATCTATTTGATGATATACAAGAGCGCTGCGCTCAGCAGTCGAGACCCCAGCTTCCGGCTGATTGCGACGACTGTGATCGTTATCCAGTATATCCAGGGTGTCGACGCTGTTACGATCTTCGAAACTACCTTGACAGCCGACGCAGCAGTCGCGAGTCGTTGAGGAGCATGATTGGTGGTGTAATGGACAGTGAACGTGTCGCACGCGCGGATGTGATGAGCATCACTGAGGGTCCAAGCGAACTGGCGACGCCGAAGGACCAGTCATACTGGCTAAGACATGCTGGGACTGAGGATGTCGGTAACAGCTTCCCTGGTACGTCGTATGGGCTTTCCCCTGCAGGACCAGCGAACCTCTTTGGAAGTTTCAGTTTTGCACAGGTATCCAGCACTCCCAAAGTTTTGGACGTCAAAAGCCCATACGCCACGACGTTGAACATTGAAGAGCCTTACGAGGTATCTGCCGACGCAGGCGTCGGCACTAAGAGACAGGCTGTGGATTTGCCCCTCGCGGGAAGTGCCAATCCCGCTAGCAAGAGAGCCAAGATTCCTCAATGAAAACCATGAGATTGTCTTGGTTTTGGCTTTTAGATAGCGCTGCTCTAGCAATACCGTCCATACATCAGCCAGGGAAGCCACCCCTCGCCATCTTCTTTGCTCTCTGATCTCGGCGGTTGTGATTCGCCTTGGACCCCTTGTTCGCTTCTTTCCTACGCCGCGCCGCTTCTGTATCTTTATCATTTGCCGGACCAGCGACATTGCCGCCGCCACCGCCGCCACCGCCGCGGCCCCTTCCTCGTCCCCTATCTGAGCCGCCGCCTCTACCACCCCGAAAAGATGATGGAACCCCAGGATCTGTCCCCGTATCTTCTCCTCTTCCCCGCCAAGATGTGCTTGCCAACTCCGTCTGGATGCCGGTGAACGTGTTATATTTGATTTCCAGTCGTCGTTTTAACCGTGGGTTTCGACCCAGCATGACAGCCCAGCCCTCGATAGCTTCGTCTGTCAGTCCCGTAATTTCCCGCAGTTTGCCGCGAGGGTCACTTCGTCTCGTGCCTGCGTCGCGGTCAAAGACATTGGGATCAGCTTGCCAACCGCGGAAGAGTGTCTCTTCATTGGCGTTACCGTCAACCTCGTCCTCCCCGCCAGCAGCTGTGTCTACCGCGCCGCCCACATCATCGGCGTCGTACGTATCATCGCGCTCGTCGTCGTCCGAGTCGAAAGCTGCGAGGGCGGACATGATAGCTGCCTTGTTGGGTGCTGTTTTGCGGTCGGCTAAGACGTCGTCAGCAGTCTTTGCTGGATTACGCTTGCCGAAGTGAAGATTTGTCATCTCGCTGGTGAGCTCGTCATCGTCGAATATATTCCGGCGCTGAGGAAGGGTTTGTGACGGGTTTGGTGCTGAGCGCGGGGCCATAGTATTCTCTGGAAGTGATTCGATGGTAGATTGGGAAGATCTTAAGAATGTCAGTATTTGATACATCGACTTGGGATGTGACTGCTCGGCAGACTTACAACAGCTCGGCACGGTCCGCAGCCGCCAATTCTGGTGGCAAATCGTCTTCGAGAAGCTTAGCTATGACTGCTTCGGGATCCTCGCCGAATTCGTCAAGCAATTTGGCTACAAAGCCGGATCCAAGATCAGGAAACAGATCCTGGATTACTGCGATTTGGCTCATTCTGTGAATGTGCATCTCCATACCATCATCGCCTTCCGCAAGGCCCTTCCCCTTATCAACCTTCTGTCTCCTTCTCTTGGCTCGTGGACGTGAGGGGCCAACACCTGCCTTCTTGAAGCCCTGCAGAGTCTCAAGCCTAGCTTTCAATGTAGGTGATAACGTGCCAGCATCTTCTGCGCGTCGTAAAAGGATGGCTAGCAAAGGCGTTGCGCTGACAATCTCGGCAACCAGAGAATCATTGACGTTGAGAGGCCCGGAGCGATGCGCCTCGGCGATAGATATGAGTTCGAATAGAGAATCTGCGAGCATGCCCCATCGTGCTTTGCCGTTTCCGTTACTCCCAATTTCTATGCTTTCTGTGTTTCTGGAGTTGCCGTCTTCCGTAAGTCCAACCAAACAAAGGTATGTCGTTGCGATGATGACTTTCCTGAGCGGTGGGTTCATAATCTTGTATCTCGTGATGAGACCATCTAAGAGATCGCTACCTGCCAGGATGAAGGCGGCCACATCACGTGAAGCGTGTATTAAATGATTCAATCTCGTGAGTGTTCTCTCCAGGGCCACGATGTCGGTTTTGAAGCCCGCATCCAATTGCGTGATAAGGGATTTCTTCAGGGGCGAGAGGCTCGTTTCTAGGACGGCGGGCTGTGTCGAGAAGAGCATTGAAAGTGAGACCGAAATGTGAGCTTTGGTGTAAAGCTTGGAAGCATCGGCGAGAACTTGCCATCTCGTAAGCTCCGGCGGTGCATTAACAGCTATTCGCCTGGCAAAAAGGTTGAGGGTTGAGTTGAGGAGTGATTTTGTCGTCTGTGAGGCACCTAATATGAAGGAAGGGCTTGTCTGCGCAACTTCTTGGATGAATGACGCCAAGAAGAGAGTCAAGCTGTCGGCCTGCGAAAGAATGTCATCGGCCTGAACACAATATGTCCGTGTCGATCTGTCCCATGCATCCAGTAGAGCATCCCAGTCTTGCTGACTGAGGTGTGAGCGAAGTGAAGGAGGGGGAAAGGGCGCCAACGGAGGAAGAACTTGAGAGGATACCATGATTGTACTGCAATGGAGTAACCGATGAACTATACCACTGTCATGCACGAGGTCCCCGGTTGATCCCGTGAAGCTCGCGACGTCTTTTATATAAATGCAGCTCCAGCAACTCAACCTGACGTCGCCGGATGAATCATCAGGATCCCTGTTGCGCGATGTGGACGATAATGGGAAAGATACCTAGGTACAAGCTGGTGAGGATGACCCCACACTAGTCCGGATATAGACTAGCGCCAATACTTGCTTGCTTCACGCAAGCCCTACCGGCCCCACAATTCTGTTTGAACTCCACGAAAAAGTTCGCGATTCAGATCTCAGTCTCTTTTTACCCCTCGAAGCTACACTTGCCAATCCGCCTTCATCACTTTGCCGGTACGTACAGCTGTTAAATTAGAGGGCAGGGCCTATCATCAACTCAAGACGCTTTGAGACTATCGACAGAATACTGACATTGTGACAGAAACGTCTACCGTTCGAGTCGTGAAGAGCCCATCCAACCAATACCATCACCATGTCGTACAAGCGTAAGCCGGCCAACATCCAGGCGTCTCGAATAGCGGACTGACAATTTTTGGCAGAGGAGAAGGGTGCCCCCGGCGCTGAGGTCAAGACCCACAAGATCAGAATCACTCTGTCTTCCCGCAAGGTCCAGGCTCTCGAGAAGACCTGCACTGAGCTCCTCGAGCGTGCCAAGTCCAAGGACCTGAAGAGTACGCACCCCAATCTTGATGTCGGACTACGAGCGCACCGAATGCTAATCACTTGCGAACAGCCAAGGGCCCCGTCCGCCTCCCCACCAAGACCCTCAAGGTCACTACCCGCAAGACCCCTTGCGGTGAGGGTTCCAAGACCTGGGACTGCTTCGAAATGCGCATCCACAAGCGCCTCATCGACCTCAACGCCCCCACCGAGATTGTCAAGCAGATCATTGTCAACATCGAGGCCGGTGTCGAAGTTGAGGTCACCATTGCTGCTTAAGCGATATAGCCCGACTTGTGTAGCACATTCTCGTTCCCGCACACAGCCTAGCTATCTTTACGGGCAACCACCAGTACACTAAGATGTGCTGATGATGGCGTGAAAACTGTTGTCTTCACAGCTGTGTCCTCGTCGTTTTGCTCCAGAGAAGGAGTAGATGTGGCAAATTCGATCCCGGTCGCTGCATAGCGGCCGCGGAGCAATACAAGAATATTCAAGTAATGGTTGATCAATTGTGATGTCTCGTCCATGCCCTGCACCAACCGTCACATGTGTGGCCCGTACAGATTGTTATACATTAGTATCTTGTCCCCTGGAGAAGCTCTATGAAACTCGGTATTCCTCAACCTAGTGCCATCATGCCATAATTAAAAACGAAGTTGAGGATGACGCGTCCAATTTGACCGTTTGCGAGACGCTGTGCCAATTCTAATCTCTACAAGACTATCGTTATATATTCCATAAACATGCTTCCCGCATAGGAGGCAATTCGGGCATCAGGCCTCCCTCAAAACGACCCGTTTGAGCAAAAGACTGCCATTGTGCCTTTGACTCCTCATCATATGCCTCGACTGGGAGCTCAGTGTCTTTGTAGTACGCTGGTGCTCCATCGGGAAACCATATTCTTGTCCAGGACCCGTTGAATGCTCTTATCCCTGGACGGCCATCTTGATATGTGACTGTCTTGCCGTTCCACTGTGCCAGCTGACCGTCCATATTCTTAGTGGCGTAAGATGATAGGTTAGGATGCTGTTTGGAGCATCCTGGCGGATATGGGCCAGCGCCGCCGCCGCTGCCTGCCACTGCTGGCTTTGCAGCTTGAACCCCGTTATTAGAGCCGCCAAAAGGATTGGAAGGTGGGTTGCCTGTCGAGCTTAAGGCTTGGCCGAATGGAGATGGATTGCTTGCCTGCGTGAAGGGACTTGCTGCCGCTGCTCCGCTAGACTGTGATGCCTGGCCGAACGGATTGTTTGCTGCGGGGACAGATGGCTGAGCCGACTGGCCAAACGCACTGGTCGTTGCAGGCTGCGTCGGGTGTCCGAAGGGACTCACTGCGGGCTGCTGCGCAGGCTGTCCAAAAGGACTTGCACCGGCACCCTGGGCAGGTTGTCCGAAAGGGCTGGCCGTCGCTGATTTCGTCGGCTGTCCAAAGGGGCTCGAAGTCGCAGGCTGCGGTGCTGGGCTGAAAGGATTAGACACAGCAGGTTGGGATGGTGCGCCGAAAGGTGAAGCACCTTGCTGGTTCTGTTCGCCGAAAGGACTTGCTGGCTTGACAGTGCTTCCAAATGGACTTGCCGTGGTGTTCGAGTTGGAATTATTCGCCGCCACGCCAAATGGAATTGACGTACTTGGGTTCCCAAATGGATTCGGCTTCTGTCCCAATGCGCTCGTCTGACCAAAAGCACCAGAGCCTCCCGCTGGCTGCGACGCCTGCCCGAACGATGGTGCCCCAAAGGGGCTGGGCTTTTGGCCTAGTGCTGACGCCTGTCCGAACGCTGATGTCGTCGAGGGCTGGCCTGGCTGGCTGAAAGCTGGAGTAGGCTGGGCCGGCTGGCCAAACGCCGGCTTTCCAAATGCTGAAGTAGTTGGCGGTGGTTGTCCAAACGCCGATGTCGGTTGCGAAGCTTGTCCAAACGCGGGCGTGCCAAAGGGACTGGGCTTCTGGCCAAGTGCATTGGGCTGCCCAAAGGCACTGGTACTCGAGGGCTGTCCAAAGGTGCTCGCACCAGAGTTATGTGCTTGGCCGAATGGGCTACTAGTGTTGGAGGATGGAGTGTTGCCACCGAATGGAGAAGAGGATTGCGCATGGCTTGAAAAGGGATTCGAGGAGTTGGTGCCAGAATTGGACTGAAAGGGGCTGGCCTGCGAAAAGGCAGATTCAGCTCTATTTTCCTTAAGGAATTCGCCGGTGGTGCCGCCGGGCAGTGTGTTTTGTTTGCAGATATCGATTCGATTCGGATGACTGTTTCCAGCCGCAATGATGAACTGTATCGCACCGTCGAGATTTCTGACCGTTGTCTGGATCTGCTGCTCGGCCTGTTGATACAATTGCTGCGCTTCGTTGAGCTAGAGACGGTCAGCCAATGCCAGGTCTGTGGACGGAATAAGCTTCGTTCTTCGTACTGCCTGCTGTGGACTGCCTTTGGACGCTGCCAGTACGTGATGCAGTCGCATCTCCTCGAAGCTCTGTTCTCGAACACTGCCTCCAAATAGCTGCTCCGGTGCGTCCCGGCCAGGACCATACGCAGAAAGAATCCATTGCGGTCGCTCTGTCGTCAAGTCTTTCTCGATAGTCTCTTTGGTCATTGAATATGTGTTGGTGCCTATACTAAATCAGCCATTCTAACCACTGTGATTGTTTCATCGTCAGTTTCTGCTACGAACCATTGTCGCTGCTTCCGTTTCCGAATCCACCCCCGCTTGACGGGTTGTTGAAGGCTGAGAATCGATTGCCAGTCTGGTTTCGGTTTGTGTTTGGGTGTTCAAAGCGACAGTTCTCTAACAAATATGTGAGCAATGCGGACAAGACAGGTTTTTAAATACATCGTCAGGATAGCAGTCGCTCCTGTGTAGTGGGGGACGCACGTCCAAACCTGCAGTTGCCTGCATCCCAAAATTTGCAGACAACCATGGCAAGGTCAGAGGAGGCAGAAGTAGAGGTTTATACCCGTCTCGTCGATTTCATTTCGGGCGTCTAGATGGAATATTGATATAATCCTGGTCACAGACTTGTGCGTTTGGCTTTGTCGTAGTGGTGAAGGTCAATAGGTGGATTGGGTTGATAGGTACGTTCTTCACGCGGTTCAGCCTTTCTTGCTCAGCCTTGCTGCACGGGAGGACGCGTTCTGAGTGCCACAAGTGGAGAATAATACAGTTCGTAAAGTCACAAGTCCTCGGCAGCTCGCACTGTCAGTACTTCTTGATCTCAATACCATCGCCCACAAGCGTTCCGATACAATGCGATGCAAAAGTAGGTCAATATTCTATCGAGATGTTTATTACAGATAATTCTCAATGAATCAATTCAATTCGTGAAAACGTTTCTCATATATCAGCCCGCTACACCCCGTACACCAGAACCGAGCGCTCAGCTCAGGGCCTCCAGCTGCTTTGTGTTCCTTGGGTACATACCCAAAGCATGACAATTTTACAGTACATTGACAAGCTGACCACGTTCGTTCAATTTCATCCTAGTCCCGCCTGCGATACTCCACGAGGCAGCCATCCTTAACGCTGGTGAAAGTGTCGCTCAGCTGGAATTCCGACACACGGTGACGTCCATACTCAAAGTCCGGGCTACCCTCGCCAGGGTCCACCACGCCGACAGCCTTGCGCAGGTCATATAAGTACAGAGTGCGCGCCAGCGTCACCATCATTTCGACGTAGGCCAGGCCTTTGCCGATGCAACCGCGAGGACCCACGGAGAATGGGCAGAACGCGCTCTGCGCAGCGGTCAAATCGACCTCGGTCGTGGCGCGGCCCGTCGACGCCCTTGTAGCGCCAACAATCCACCTCTCGGGCTCGTAAGCAAACGGTGACGAGTAGTATTCCTCGTTGTGGTGAATGGTGTAGTGGGGCGTGCCGACAACGGTGCCAGCGGGAATGAAGCTTCCATCAATCTTCAAGCCACCCGGGAGAACCTCCCGAGGGAGCAGACCACCGACAGAGGGCGAGAGACGCATGGCCTCGTCGACGCAGGCGCGGAGGTAGGAGCACGAGTTTAGGGTCTGTCCCTGATGAATTTCCTCCACATCACTAAACTTGCTGCGGATCTCCTCTGTGGCCTTTTGAAGAGCTGCCGGGCTACGGGTAATGTAGAACAGAGTAGCGGCCATGGCAGTCGAGGTGGTGTCGGAGCCAGCAATGATACTGTTGGCTAGTCAGTTGCCAACGTTTTTCAAGCGGTGGCTATACTTACAGAAGGTTAGATTCGCTCCACAACTCGGGAGTAGAAAAGCCCTGGCCGGTTTCGGGGTCCCGGGCCTTGAGCAGGTGGTAGAAGAAGTCGCGTCGGTCAGTATCGTCGCCGAGCTTCGTACGCTCGGTCAGTTGACCCTTGCTGTATACCATGTAGCGAGCACGGCCGGCAGCAATCTGGGGGAACAGGAACTTGTCAAGCTTGAGTTTGTCGACGATTGGCATGGTGCCGCACTGGGTTTCTGCGTCAGCACGTCATTAAAACCCTTCTCTCCTATGAATGAGACCTACGATCAAGTGACGCTTGGTTGCGGCGGCAATTAGATCGAGCGCGAAACGGTTGTCAGGAGCCTCAAGCATGTGGAATGCTTTGCCGTAGGCAAGATCACCCAGGATATCCATGGCAAGGTAGTTGCACCAATCCGTCATGTTCTTGGGTGTGGACCAGCCCTTCTTCTCCAGATTATCGGCGCCAGCGCCGATTTGCGTGGTGAAGGTCCGTACGTTGGCCAGAATGTAGCGCTCCATCTCACGGATGGCGTTGTCGGAGAAAGACTGAGCCATGACGCGGCGCTTTCGCGCGTGTACGTCTTTGTCGCGCGTGTTGTGCGTGTTGGGGGCTGGGTGTACGAAGGCGTTGTAGAACTCGGCTTTGCGAACGTTGGAGCGGAAGCCATATATATCCTTGAGGGCCGTGTTTGAATTGAAAGACACGCTGTTTGGGCCGAAGCGAACGATTTTGCCATATTTCTCGTGCATGCGCCAGAACTCGAGGTGGCGGTCCCCCTTCCAGGCATGATATAACTGGTAAGCATCCGTGACTTTGGCAATGAGTGGCCCCGGGTACTTAGCCAGCGGGTGGAAGAAGATGCGATAGACAATGAGGATTATCGTCTATGCCTCTGGTTAGGCTATGTTTTCTTGACATGGGGAATTGCCTTGATAACGTACATACAGCGCCGCGGCGGCGGCGATGAGCCCTAGCCAGAACCACAGATGACTGAGGTTAGCCATTCTGCTCTGTTTCGAGATTGTGCCGGTATCAGGTTGGTTGTGGTGAATCTTCTACAGTTCACGCTGTTTGTGATATCACTTTTCGTAGGGACGAAGTCCAACCCAGCTTTCGAGATAAGCAAAAAGGCAGAAAGAATTCAGACTCTCTCCGATGAGGAAATGAGAGTTAAGTCCCCGCACATCTTCCGCCATCACCTCGTCATGCCCGCACACCTTATACACATCCACCTCCCTCATCCGGGGTTCCCAGCCCCAAACAGAGCTCGGCTTACACCGGTCCAACTTCTCCAAGACGCTTCCCCAAACTTCCCCAGCCCCACGACGCTGTCACTTGCCCCATTCGGCCGCCCACGGCTATCGGCGGAACGCTCATCCATGGCCAAGTACCAAATTCTGCACACATTTTCTGACCTCGATCTTGAAACGTGCGTATCGGCTGCCCAATCATTGCGATGACATTACCCACCGCGGGCGGCATTACGCGGAGCAGCGCGGGCCTGGAGGACGTCCACGCCTGCTTTCCGCGGTGGGTCTTATGCCGGAACACTGGATTGAGGTGGGGTCACTTCTCCGCCGCCGAAGGCACCATGGTGCGGGCCGACTGTTGAGTATTCGTATGGTTGCTTCCATGGTCTCATCTTGAAGTGATTACAACTTTTTATCCCCCATCGTTGTCCTGCTGCTTTGTTGTCGCATGGCAAGTTCTGGCGAGTTTTCGCAAGTCGTGATGGCTTGTAAGACGTAACACGCATTTGCGGACGTAGTCTACATTCCTGTGTTCTAGGCGCATTATTGTTTCGGCCCTCTCGTCGATTGAAGGTTTACTAAAAAATATCTCAAGAGCAGAGGACACGGACAACAATGTTACGGGATTAGGGACAACATGACCGCACGCATGGACGTGTGCGTGTAATTTAGTTGTTTGGGTGTGGTCATCATCAATTGTCAATTCTAGCACTTTTGTACATATTTCAGTTTACACAACATAGAAGAGACCATATTTTCCAACCAATGTTCGCCCCATTCCAGTCATTCAAACCTCAGTTGTTGTAGTATCTGGGCTCGTCGAAAACATGGTATCTGTGATCACGGACGCCCTGGCCTCGGAACAGTGCCGGGAATCTCCAACCCACAGGCACATCGTCCTCATTGACTCGACGGTTGCGGGTCTCGTCGTCAAGAGCCTCGATCGCATTACTCTCTGCTTCAGTTGCGGGAATGACGAATTTGGCGGCCTGCAGCTCTGTATCCGTAATGGTGCTACGACTGACACGCGCGTATGCCACTCGCTTGAGACGTTTAAACAGGATGTACTCGCACCAGCGGTCCCAGTCCGACGGGTCGACATCATGCATGCCCGACACATCGCTGACATAGGTGTTGTAGTTGCCCTGGAGCGGCTTGGTGACAAGGTAACTAAGGAGGATCGCGGGGCGCGGGGTCGAGCCCATGAGTTTCGAGAGGTAAAGTGACTGCAGGCGGCGATCTTCAGGGTCTTCTTCCTGGCCCGAGTGGAAAACAAATACATCCACCTCGCGGCCGTAGACATCCAGTGTTGCATGAATTGCCGGCGCCAGCTCGCCGACAGGAGAGGGAAGTAGGTGGTGCTCTGACTTGAGAATAGGGTACTTGGAAAGAAGCACTACGCCCCATGTGTGCTTGTTGGGACCTGGGCCATAATCGACATACATGCCGAGGTCCTCCGCAAGAAACTGAGAAGTGTCGCGGTTGCCCATGATGATGCGCTGACAGTCCGTCTCAATGAGGGCCACGACATCGAGTTCCATTTCTTTGATGAGATCACGCATACGGTACTCGGATGACCACATGTCGTTGTCCAGCGCAAAATGAATCGTCCAGACGCCCGCCGTCATGACACGATCTTCTCCGTGATACGGCTCGTAATCGTTGGTTGGGAAACGCAAGAACGCAGCCGAAAGGAAGAACAGGTTGACTGCGATGGCGGCAGCCCTGTGGAACTCACGGTGCTGGAATACTGAGGCTGATGGGCGCTGGGCCTTCTTGCGGCGACTCTGTGCTGTCGTTGAGCCAAGTCCCAGCACACCGAGGCCAATGAGCAGCATCATGGTCGCCATGACCCAATCAGTGTGCTCACGCACATAGGGGCCGCCCGGCACAAAGGCGTAGGCAACAACCCAGACAGAGAAGAGGACCAAAAAATTATAAAAGAGAAAACCTAGGCCAAAAGTGATGACGGGGTTCCTCTTCGCAGCACTGCTGATGATTGGTCCCGCAATGGCCATGAGATAAACCGTTAAAGCAAGCGCTCCGTAATAGCCAAACCAGTTGTGGTGGTAGGTTACAACATAAGCACCGGCGCAGCCAGCACTATATGCAGCCCAACTCGTGACCAAAGAAGGGCGAGACTGACCAAATAGCACACCAGCTGTCATAGCAACACCCGTCAGCCAGCCATATGTGTTAGCAGTCGGTCCACGAATAGGGTAGCCCTCCCAAACCCAGAGAATCATGGTGCTGCTGTCGGAAAGGAGCCAGTGCATGCCAAAGAAGACACCACCAGTGCCGAAAGCTGCTAACAAAGATGACCCACTGCGCTGGGGGTCAGAGGCAGATTGGCCGCTTGTTAGGGGCGCCTTGCGGGTGAAGCGGAGGGCGGCTAACGTAGCAAGGATACCTCCAATGCCATTCCAGCCTCCATTCGCAGCGTGCATGATTGGCCAGACAGGGTTGTTGGTCCACCAGGCAAACTTGATGGCGGAAGACAGGACCAGACCGAGAGTAAGAGCCAGGAGTTTTGACTCAAGTCTTCCTTCATGGACAGACTCCGCATAAAAGGTGGTGGCCCAGCCCAAACAGGCCATTGAGACACCGAAAGAGACGGCAAAGAGGCGATAGACTGGGGACTCGACCTTGTAGGCCACGACGGCTGACAAGGAAAGCAGGTGAACGATGCGCTGGTTGGCAACGACCATTCGGCGAAGAGGACCAATGGATAGCAGGAGTGGTGAAACAGAAGCCATGACGACCACTTCGTAACCGGAGAGGCCCATGTACCACAAGGGGAAGTACCAAACGGACACACCCAGGCTGGTAAGGATGGTCCAAAAGATGTAGCCATGATACACCTCCGCAACGGTGTCGATAGCTTCCGTCCAAGTGAATTTAACGGACAAGATGCCGGCAGAAGCCTTCTTTTTCCTAAGTGTTGGTCATTAGCGGAGTGCCACAGTGACAAAGGTCCAGCGGGTGTCGATCGACTTACTCCTTCTCAAGGACTGCTGAGGGAACAGAGGACCGGTTTTCACTAGAACCAAAACTTTAGAATCCAGTCCTATCGCGTTTTATTTCTTTGAAAATGTACGATAGGTACAACGCTATTTCGGAAGCCAATGCACGTACCCCTTGCTCGCGCCCTGAACGTCCTTGATGATCACTTGGAATGTTCTGAAGTCGTAAGCCGTCACAGCGTCGAAGGCGACATCGAAAAGAATGAGCGACCATTCGAAGAAAGCGTAGGTCGTATAGGCTGCGTGGGTCAGCACAGTGGCACGTGCAGTAATTCGGCCAACTCACCTCCGGGCACTCGGTGGACCTTGTGCTGAATGAAGAAGTAGATGAGAGGCACGAGTGTGCCAAAGAAGGAACTAGCAATGATCTTCCTGTAACGGATTGCCTTGGGATTGGATGGGCTAAGGGTAATACAGCCAATAGTCCACGGCACCGTCGCAACGATGTAGGAAATCATGAAGATATCATGCCATTGGTGGTCGTCAGTCGAAGTGACGTAGGTGAAGCCACCGCAGGTTAGTGTTCGGAAGATGCCCATCGCAAAGATGAACTTTGGCAATGTTTGGCCAGGCTTTCTGGTGAGAAGATACCATAAACCGACAAGGGCAAATCGAGGGCCTGAGGTGATAGCGATGAAGAGCATAAAGAAGGACCGTTCGGGATATTTGTCGCCAATGGTTGCGGAGACGGAGGGGAACCATTCTTCGGGGTACCCGTACCACTCATTCTGGACGATCTTCTTGTAGTGGAGAGAGACACCGACGATAAATGCGCTGATGAAGGCAGCTAACATGCGGTCAGTGATGCATCAGGTGATGCGGAGAGCTGGCCACCAGAGCCGAGGGGCACATACTGTAGGCGACGGTGGTATGCAACCAGCTCACCCACTGGCCACCGAAAGCCAGCACGACACCTCCGTCCTTATCCTTGTACCTCGACGACATTTCGACAGGATTAAAAGCAACAACAGAGGTTTTTAAACAGCATCCGAACAATCCGGATGCGAAGAAAACGGGGGCGGACGCAGTGGCCGACCAAAAGAGCGTTGGGAATATGGAGGCGACAGATGGGAAAGAGAAGTGAAGCGCGGATCGCGTGTCGTGTCGTGTTCGGCTATGTTCGTCTTGCTTGTGACTACCTACCTAGGTACCTACTTCAGGTACCTGGCCTTACAGCCAATTCGAGCACTCAATTGCTGGACGGCTTCAGCCTCCACCCTCTTCTGGACTAGCTCACTGATAAGATTTGTTATCTCAAGTTCCCACTTTAACTTCGATGGCGGCCGCCAAACTTTTTCAATTGCGGAAGGTTGATAAATCGCTTGCCTCAAGTACTTGACCGACTTGACAGCTTACGACATTTAGTCGATCAAGATCAAGATGGCGGGTGTTGCAGAGAAAGCTCGATTCTACTTGGAGAGGTCAGTTCCTCAGTTGCGAGAATGGGAGGCGAAGGAAATCTTCACCAAGGTAGACAATAACCCCCCACCACCATTCTTCAGCCACCACGAGCTCTGACACATTACAGGAAGAGATTCGCAACATTGTACAGCGTCGCAGCGATTTTGAGCACCGGGCGCTTGCACCGGGCGTTCAACCTACCGACTTCACGAACTATGTCGCTTGGGAAATTTCACTTGATGCCCTGCGAGTGAAGCGCTGCGAACGCCTCAAGATTCGTCACGTCGCTTCGCAGCATGCCACTCAGGCTCGGGTTCTAGCTATTTACGAGCGAGCCGTCACGAAACGCCCTGCATCAAAGGAGCTGTGGCTCGATTATCTTACCTACACTGAACGAATCAGGGCTACCAAGAGGTGGAGGAGGACTATGACCCGTGCCCTGAGACTTATGCCACGCGATGCAGAGCTCTGGGTGCTCGCAGGACGCAGGGCCGCAAAGAATGGCGATATGGGTACTGCGAGGGGATATTTCATGCGCGGCTGCCGATTCTGCACTGTAGATGGCGGACTGTGGATCGAGTACGCTCGGTGCGAGATGGAGTGGCTGGCCAAGATGGAGCGTAACCGCAAAGACAGCAAGAAGGGGGGGAGGGTTGGTCCCTTGGCGGGCGAGCAAGTTGCAGAAGGCGACGCCATCATGTTCAACGTTGGAGACGACGACTTGAACGATGAAGATGAAGGCACAGCCATCATGCCAGAGCCGGAGGCCGAAGAGCCCGTTTTTGATGAAAAAACCGCCAGTACACTGGAGCGCAACCCAGCCATGGATGGCGCGATACCGATGGCTATTTTCAACATTGCAAGGAAACAACCGTTCTTCAACGACGCAACCGCCGAGCTTTTCTTCGACCTGTTCGCCGTCTTTACCAAGGTGTCAGCGCAATCCGTGCTCATCCAACATGTGCTTGCAGCCATGCAAGAGGACCACCAGACAGCGGCTTCAACATGGGGCTGCTACACGCGCTTTCCGCTGGTGGGCATCAATCCTTACACGGCCGACTTCCCCCGCGGTCTTCGAGAAGCCTTGTCCCGACTCAAGGTCGGTTTGGAAGCAACATCAGAGTCTACCATGTTGAAGACAAAAACAATTGCGTGGATAGAGCCCATTCTTGGTTTGGAAAATTTGGACGCAGGTATTCGGGTGGTCTTGGAGCATACTAAGGCGAAGTTGCTTGCATAGCATTATCATCATTGAAGCTTGCCTGTTATGGTATTTTACAGGCAGATCTGGTCTAGTGTGCCTCATTACTCGCTGTGGCTTTTCCAGCTACCGAACATTTTATTTGCCCTATCATGGCTGCGGCGATGACGGAAAGGATTGTGCCGATATCCTCTCCGGGGACTGGTGCCAGACTTGTTGAGGATTCAAAGGACGATGTTCGTGCCTGTCCATGCTTGACGTGGTTGCCCTCGCTGAGCCAGGGCCCTATAAGGAAGGCTCCTTCGCATCCATCAAGCTTTGGGCAGCATCAATGGCCAGTATGGCATCCCAAGCATCCTGGCCTATGGTGCTGACAACCATTTGGGGCTGCTTCAGTACCTGCATGCTGTCAAAGATGTGCTCGTGTTCGGCACTACGGATGCGCCCGAGCCCGACTGGGCTGTTGAATTTACGCTCAAGTGTAACGTGAATACAGATAAAATCAAGCTTGTCGATGTCCACGTTGCGGGCGTAACAGTTTCCTTGACGGATGTCGTAGTATGGTGAATCCTTGTCACATGCTGAATCTGAAATGGTTGAGTCAGCCGAAAGTTATTTTGGCAGGGCCGTGACTTGGTGTCGCAGACTTACATTCAGGGCTCTTCTCCCTGGAAATGGTGACAATGCCAACAATGGAAGGGCTGCCCGAGACCGCGTGTAAGACGAGGACTCTGTCACCTACCTTCATCTGACGCATCAAACTTTGAGAGGGGTACGACCGAATACCTGCAGACAACTGCCGTCAGCTCAGCCACAGACAACTGGTGAGGTAACGAGAGTCTTCAACTGAGTACAGACCTTCGACGGCAAGCGGCTCATTCCCGCAGTCATCAATTGAGAAGCCGGCACGTCTGCCCTCAATAGTGCGATGCGGGCAAGCCTTGAGAACCCAGAGAAGACATTTTCCAACCTTGCGCTCAATTTTTACGCCGTTGTCCCAGAGAAGCGCTCTATCAGCCTTGCTGAATTCTTTCTTCAAAGACTTTCTGCCTGTAGCAGAAACGGCCATGTTGCTTGGCATATTCTAGAAGCTGCGTCCACGTGTCGGTCTGTTGGCGCGGCTGGCAGTCAGAAGGTTGCTGTAACTTCTTCTGCGGGCCATGAAGTACGGAAAGTGAGCCTTGGCGCGTCTCTGACGGATATGGCGGGCGAAATACTGAAATCTCTTCGATGGGTTGGAGCGGGGCTGCTTGGAAGATTATCACATAGCAAGAGAAAGGTTCAATGAGTTTTGTGTACTTCGTTGTTGTTTCTTATATTTGACGCTGGAAGTTCAAGTCGTAGCGGGCCGGATGCCTGGCTAGGTACTCAGGGAGTTGTAGACGCGACGCAAGAACGGCAACCATCATTATCGAATTAGCAAGTTATCGGTGATTGGAGATAGTATGTATATGCGATAGCACAGCAAACCAGCCCTTCGCTTTGGTCGTTTATGGAGGCTGTTAGGAAAGCCCTATCAGTACATCCCAGGTGAGTGCGGTCAAAAGCGCAGAAGACGTTTGCAACAGTGCTACGGACCACTTGAATGAGTGATCTCAAAGGTGTATCCCTTATGGATGGAAAGAGAGACGGAGGTAGGACCAGGCGAGAGGAGTTCCTTGAGATAGAGCCCTGCAATCAAGCGGACCTGCAAGTATCGAATAAAAAGAACAGCCATGCCCATGACAGGTCATAGCTTCATAGCCACCGAAATTTCAAATCAACTGGCCTACAGTAAGCAAGCCGTATCACCTTGGCCGGGTGCTGTGTACGAGTCATGAGAACTCGGATACACAAGCCAAAAAACTGTCTAAGAAGGCGCTCATCCAAGGTAATCCCGCCAACCAACTTCAAGGCGATGCATTGCCTTGTGAGACAATCAACTTGACCCGGAGGAAAACTAGGACACGCAACAATCGGAGCTTGCAATATGTCGATAAATCTCAAAGGACTCCTCATACAAGTTACTTCTATCAATTTGTGGCTGCCAGGGTGATGCTGTACCTGACGGCAAGCATGAAGTTATTCCGGGTGCTTTGGCCGGCGAAACAGCCGGAAATGGTGACTCTGACATAGCGATCACGAAGAAGCTGACCATCAGTTCTTGCAACTAACATACAGCTGCGGCTCAGAAGCTATTGACAGTCAGGAGTCTGCTTTTTTCAGTGGTTGTATGCTATCTCACCTCAGTACTCAGTGTTAGTATATGTATATGTGTGTCCCGTATATCAGCCAGGCAGCCTGTCCATATGTGTGATTGGGTGAGCTGACTTGGACGTCGAATTTCATGGTGGCCCCTGCACGTATCCAAGTATACACAAGCTCGCTTGAAAGGTGTTGCAGTTCACGCTCCACAGATGCATCACGGTAATGGGTAACGAAGGAAGGCAAGTTGTGGTTGTAAGGTACAGTACTGACTCCCTCCCTTTTGAGCATGGTTCTTAGGTACCTTACCTATCCCGTTGACCATCGTCGTGTCTGTACGAGGCCCACCCCAAACCCGTAGACTGAGCCTGAAGACGCAATGCGTTAGCCGCTCCACAACTCTCACAGCTGATTGGCTTACAAGCACCCATGCTATCCACATAGACCAATCCTCTTTTGGATTGCACTGATGCGGCCTGAAACCGCCTACATAGGTACCTACCTTAAGGTGCCTTACCTAGGTAAGGTAAGGTAGGTAGGCAAGTAGGTGCCTTGAGGAAGGGCGACACGAAAAACCCCCCTTGCTGCCTGGCTTGATCCTGCGTCCATCCCCCTGTGTGCTTCATTCCGTTCGAGTCAACGCGTGGAGGCCTCAGGCATCGACCACACGGACAATCAGGAAGACTGGCACAAGTACCAAGCTTTTCAGGTGTTGTTCATCAGTCGTCCTCGCCGTTGCCTATTTGCGCGCCCATCATCCACCCATTTCTGTCGCTCTTGCGCTCCAGAGTCCACCTGTTGAGGTAAGCTACTGCCCCGACACGCGACCTTTGCTCGTTGTCATCTGTCGCGTCCATCACACACCCTCCGAATCCATCCAATCTCGCAGTGTCCCTATCTCCCCCGGCCCGATACGATCTATTGCCCTGCTCGTCATTCTGCTATCCCTTTCCTCGTGGCCCTCCTCGTCTGCTCTGAAGCCATCGCGACATTGTTCTCGACGTGGTCGGTGCCAGTTTTTTTTGTCATCACTGCGCTATCATCTGACTAGCCACGGGCCTACGCTCTTTTTTTCTTCACACAACCAAAGCCCCCTCCCTGGCCAGACTGGAACCGAAAAGCACCCACCTGTTTTCCCACACCCACACTCGTCCACCCCCCGACCTGACCCCCGAGCATCGCGTCGCGTCCATCGCGACCGCCCACCTCCGTGCGACTTCCATCATTTCTGTCGTCGCCTATCATCGCTTTCATTCCATTGGCATCCTGGTTTTCCATTTTCGCGCTGCTGACTGCCGAAGACGTCCCCAGCTGCCAATGGGTTGCTTAGCATCAGCCTTACTCTGAGCGCCTGTATCAACGACGCTGCCTCCACCAACCATAACCTCCACAACGATCCCAAGGCCGATGGCCATATCGTCGGCGCAGGCCATCCTCGCATGAACCATCTCAGCGCCAATCCCTCTTCTGCCACGATGGATCCATCCGCCTTTATGGGCAATCCTGCCCAATTTAATCCCTCGCAATTTGCCAGCGCCCAGCAGCAACAGCAGCATCAGCAACAGCAGCAGCAGCTGGTCGCCATGCAGAACGGACAACTGCGCAATGCCTCTCCCTCCTTCCAGAACCCTGCCTATCAAACCAACCCCGTTGTTCCGTCAAAGCGACCTCGCCCTCGCGAAGACAGCCTTGCTGGGTCGCCGCGACAAAACCCAGGCATGCTGCCGACTTCGCGCTCTGATACTCCCCAGCAATTTCCCGGATACCAGTCTGGTGGCATGCCGCAACAGCACCAGCAGCAGAACCCTGGCCAGCCGCAGCCATCGCCGTATAACCATCTGCAGCCAAATGGTTCCGCTAATGCGACGCCGTCGCCCATTATGGGCAGCAACATGCGCCCTGGAAGCGTCCCACAGCGAGTCGCGACTGCGTCGCCGCATCCCTTTTCTCCCAGCACTCAACAGCAATTTGGGCCACAAGCATCTCCGGTACCATCCGAACACAGCAGCACACCACAACCAAACCCCTATATGCAGAACATGCAGAACATGCCGCCTGGCTTCAATCAGAACTTCACGCCAACACCTTCACCTGCGCGTCCTTCGCCGAACCCTAATGCTATGACTGGAATGATGCAGCAGCAGCAACATCAGCAGCAACAGCAACAACAGCAGCAGCAGCAGCAGATGGGCGGCCAGATGCCGCAGCAAATGGGACAGATACCGAATCAGATGTTCCCCCCTAATTTGCAAGGACGTAATCCCACGGAACAACAAAAGATGGCTGCGTACCAAGCTAGATTACAACAACAACTTCAAGCGCAGGGAAACATGCAGAACATGCACCCTGGCATGCAGCAGAACATACAAATGGCAGCCCAAATGCAGGCTCAAAACCTGTCTCAGGGAAGAGGCATGGTGCCAAAGCAACCGATGCAGCCCATGCCTAATGGACAGATGCCGCAAGGGGGCACACGGCCTCAATCACGACAGCCCATGGGTCAGGATCAGTTCATGAAGAGCTTATCCAAGTTCATGCATTCAAAAGGCTTACCTCTGGAGACAAATGTTGTCATTGGGAACCGGCCGGTTAATTTAATGCACCTTTTCCAGGCTGTTCAGAGTAAGGGTGGCTATAAGTCCACCACTGCCTCCAACCAATGGCCACATGTATCCAACGCCATCGGATTCCATCCTGTCCAGATACCGCAAGCGCCGTCCATGCTCAAAGATATGTACGAAAGGAACATCCTGCGGTTCGAAGAATTCTGGACTGCTCAGCAGAACCAGCAGCGGATGATGCAGCAGCAGCAGCAGGGTAGACAAACCCAACCCGCCCCTAGTGGCCAACCACAACCCTCGCCCGCGAAGCAAATGTCGCCGCAAGCTCAGGCTTCTCAAGGCATGATGCAGGCTGGACAGCCGCAAGCCCCGCAGGCTCCGCAGCAGCCAGTAGCTCAGCATCAGCAGCAGCAGCATCAGCAGCATCAGCAACCGAACCCCCAGTCGCAACATCAACAGCAACATGCGCAGCAACACCAACAGCAGCCGCAAGTTTCACAATCACCACTGCCGCAACAGCAGCAGCCGCAGCAACATACTCCGCAACTACAGCAGCAACCTCAACAACCAAAACCACCCCACATAAGCTCCATGCAAGGTCAGGCGCAGCTCAAACAACCACCTTTCGTCGGCCCACAGGGCACGAACGGGAGCACTGCACACCAAGGCCAGACACAGTTGGGCCTTGCAACTAGCACGCCGGGACAACATCGGAACAGTCTCCCGAGAGGCATTGAGCCGGTCGTGAGCGCAGGCCAATTGAACGCACCTGGGCCTTTCCCAGCTGCGACGCATGCGCATGCCGAACAGATCCCTTCTCTACCTACACAGTCCGACGCACTTGCTGGACCCTCACGCTCTTCTGGCAAGACGAATTTGCCAAAGCTTGTGCGTCTTGCGGCTGCTTCAGATGCATACCCCTGTGATGTTCGGCTCCCTCAGCCTGATGCATTTGGAGGCTTCAAGCTGGCCCAAGTCGATCTAAAAGGCATGATGATTGAACAGTTCAAGCCTGATGTTCCAGGCGTATGGGAGCTGGGCATGGTCGATCTCCAAGCCTTGACGCGCAGTATCGAGTCGGGAATTCATGGCGAAGTGCGCATGGCGCTCGACACGCTTGCTACCGTTACACAAACTCCACCGAAAGACTCAAAAGACCCCCTCTTTATTCAGTTGAAGTCGTGTGAGGAGCTTGTTGAAGCACTTGTTGAATGCGCCGAGGAGCAGCTGGAACAACTTGCAGAGAACACAGTCGAAGTATCTGACGACATACAGTTGGCGGCATACGAAGACATTGCGCGAGCCTGTTGGGTTGATCGACTAAGCGTTCGCAAACTTCCCGAATTTGCCACCCCGGAGTACGAGCTTGACAGAGCCGTAGACCGATTGACGTGTATTTTCACAATCCTACGAAATCTCTCATTCGAACCAGAAGCTGAGCCTACGCGCACATCCCCACAGCTGCCGTTTGGTCCGCATCATAATCATCAAGTCTTGGCAGACGAGTCTGTCATTAAACTCGTCTGTGACATGATACGCTATCTCGGCACCCGGAATATGCTGCTCCGAACGCATGCCAACACGTTGGACTTCATGAAGGACGCAATTACTCTTTTATCCAACATTGCAGGTGCAGTGGAAATTCCAGGGCGCGAGCAAGCGCTCTGCTTGCTGCATTTCTTGCTTGCTTTCGCACCTGGACCGGGGCCATCGATCCGTGACGATCGACTATATTTCCCCCCCTTCGAACCTGCTCTCCAACCATATCTCTTCCACGCTGTCGACGCTCTAGCCAAGTTCCTCGCCCGCGATGAGCCTAACCGTACATTTTACAAGACTATATTCGCTCTGGACGCTGGGAGTACGACACCCTATGAGCTCATGACCAAGACGTTCGCTCTGGCGATCTCAGTGGTTCCTATTCAATTATCCGAGGGTCAATTGAACCGAGCGGTCATGTCGCCTAAGCTGCGCATTGCTATCGAGAACCGCGCGCCATTGCTCATGCAGGGTTTGTTGGCTGCAGGGATCCTAGCATCTCTGGCACCAAGCTACGAGAGCGGTGTCGCCAGAGCCTGGCTATCCAACGGGGATGGCTTTGCAGAGGCGTTGTACTTCCTTGTCCAAGTCCTCAGTCATCAGTACGAACAATCCAGTGCCGGCCGTGACCAGGACTTTCCCTACATAGTGGCACTCAGCGTGTCTCTCTTGCGAAAACTGGGCGAACGCGCCTTCGACCCAACCGATCCTTCAGCACTCCCGGCCAACGCTCTGCCCTCAGCCGAAAGCGTTTTCGGCATCATGTCAATGAAGTCATCGGAATGGGCACGGGACGGGATTATCCGGGACCTGACTGCGTATGCCGACCTGCATCGATAAGTCAAGGTGTTATGGACCAATTAATATCTCCTACATGGCGCAGCACTGGCACAGATGAGGTTTGCGAAAGCCGAGGGCGAAACAGAATTGGAGAAGAAGTAAAAAGGCGCGGGTGTACATCAATTGTGGTGCGAATCATACCTGGCTGACCCAGGTTGTATCTTGTATCTCTTGTTGTAAGTTGTTAAAGCGAGTTGTAGGACGACGGCGCAACGGTTTGTGCACGGGCTCTTTTCTACAGCAGAACCAGCAAGGGCCGGACTTCGATAGAAAATACCCTTGGAGTGCTTCATGTCATCTACCATCACGTTACATGCACATCTTACTCCCATCCTGTTCCCAACCTGTTCCCATTTGATGTACAGTCTACAATTATCTGATGGTACAACCCTAAAGATTAATGTCTCTGCAGGTATAATCTTATGTCCAGACCCCAGATCTCTTCCCGTTCAAGATTTATAACCGGTAAAAGCGTGGTGTGTTCACTTCTCCACATGCTTAACCCGCATTCTGTTAAGGCGATGGCCCCTCAACATTTATGGTGGGCTTATGAGGATCACCAAATTCGTCAGCAAGCCACTTCTTTACTTCCGTGACATGTAGACCCTGCTGTTGTCAGTCACGGCTATGCCTTCAGTGCTGAGAACTATAACGCACCTTAATTTGAACATGGTCCGTCACAGGCGATATCGTGATATCCTCCCTCGGAAGACCTGTGGCATTGGCAAGGTCCTGTGCAAATGCACGTTTGTCACCCGCAATGCGCTTGATGACCGTAAACTTGGATTGCCCAGCAGATTTGGTGCGGGGATACACAGGGTAGTTCTTGGATGGGGTAAGGTCGACAAGGTAGGCTCGTTTAGAGGTTCTCGTAGATTCGGTGGCGTTCCGGACTATGGTTGAACCTGTCATAGGCTTTGAGGGAGGGATCGCGGTCTCGACGGCAATGGAGGTTGACGATTCATGAACCGTGGTGACAAAGCGGACGAAGAAGACGGACCGGGAAGGAGAGATGGCTGGGGAGCGGGCTCGGAGTGCCCTAGCGATAAAGGCGCTCATGGTGACGGGGGAGGGATGCCGTAGCCCGGGTACTGAAAGATTGCAGACGACGGGATCTAGGTCCAACTCGTTGAGGCCGATCTCAGAAGTTTCTCTATGCTGGACCGCGCCGGTTGAACACCGGCAAACAAGATTATGTTTCCTTTCCACAAGGTGCCGCTTCACTAGGTACCTACCTACTTTACTTTAGTACCAGACTGCACCTATTGCTCCACTTTAAAATTAACAGAGCCCGGAGAAACACCGGCACGCAGTCAAACCCCCACCAATATTGCGTTTGGCAAAAAAAGGCCCAAAACTCAGTCTCTGCCCCTCCTACGACGACGACGCCAGCAGGATCGCCCTCTGTCTACTCCAAGCGACGACCATCACCGACGCTGTTCCCCTCCTCCCGACCGATAAGATTCTTTTCAAAGGACGAAACACTTACCGCCGTTCCCGAACCCACGTATATCGGCCCAACATGGAGGATATTTATGCAGCCCTCGATGGCGAGAACATCCTCCCCAAGCTTGCCTCGCAGCTCAGCAGACATTTGCTGTTTCCACTCGTCGAATTCGAGGCAGGTAGAGCTGAGGACAACGGAAACGAGGAGAAGGCTAGGCAGATCTTGAACGGCAAGCTCAAGCTGCTGCAGGACACCAACATGGCTGACTACGTCGCCGAACTCTACAAAGAAGTGCACAATGTGAACGAGGCGCCTGCCGAGTACGCCAAGAAGCGCAACGATGTCATTGCCCAGCTGGAGAAGTACGAGCAAGAGACGGCCCGCATCTCGGAACTCCTGACACGCGAGGATGTCGTGGGACAGCTGCGCAGCGACAAGGTGGCCAACTTGGAGTTCTTGAAAAAGGACCACGAGGTGCGTCTGTGAAGCAATCTGACGATAATCAACAAATACTCATACTCCTTATTTAGGTCACTATTGAGATGGTCGATTCTTTGTACGACTTTGGTCAATTTCAATTCCGTTGCGGCAACTATGGCGCTGCCGCAGACCTGCTCTATCAGTTCCGCGTTCTCTCCACCGATAACGACAAGGTGGCACAGGCGACATGGGGAAAACTGGCATCCGAGATTCTAACGACGAACTGGGACTCGGCTGTTGAAGAGTTGATGAAAGTCAAAGAGAGCATCGACACAAAACTCTTCAGCAACCCCCGCGCTCAGCTTGATCACCGCACCATGCTAGTTCACTGGGCTCTCTTCCCCCTCTTTAACTCTGAAGCCGCGCGCGAGCCCATTCTCGACCTCTTCTTCACTGCCCCTTTCATCAACACAATTCAAACGTCGTGTCCCTGGATTCTGCGATACCTGATTGCCGCCGTTATCACCGGTCGCTCCCGTAGCCGCAACTCGAGCCAGCACCAGAAGCAGATGAAGGATGTCGTCCGCTATGTCCGGCAGGAAGCCTACGAGTACAGCGACCCTATCACTGAATTCATCTCGGCTCTCTACATTGCCCACGATTTCAACGCCGCTCGCGAAGCCCTCGCTCGTGCGGAGGAGGTCTGCCGAGGTGACTTCTTCCTCGGCGCGACAGCAGATGCCTTTGTCGACGCTGCGCGCCACCTCATCTGCGAGAGCTACTGCAAGATCTTTAGCCGGATGAACATCCGCGACCTCTCTGCCAAGCTTGGCCTCAACCCCGATGATGGCGAGAAGTGGATCGTCAATCTCATCCGCGAAACCCGCCTGGATGCCAAGATCGACTCGCGCGAGGGTACTGTCGTCATGAACCACCCGCCTAACAACGTCTACCAACAGGTTATCGAAAAGACGAAGGGTGGGTTCTTCCGGACGCAGGTACTCAACGCCGCTGTGTCCAAGTCGTGAACGATGATTTCCCCACTAGCATCACATCATTACAATGTGTGCCACGGGGCGCGCGCCGCTGTCACGAGACTACCATTGTCGAAACTACCATGTCGTGGAGCCCTCAGCCAGCGTGCGCGAGCATACTTTCATCCGGATGCTTTAAAGCGGCGTCCGACACCAGGGCGAATGACGAATTAAAAGTGGAGGCAGCGGAGAAGGGAGGCAAGCCTAAAATGACTTGCTTACATCACATGGCATGGCGTTCGGGTACGAAAGGGACGGCGGGCGGATGACGGTCAGGATCAGTCACCCACATGGGTAAGGTAAGGGCATGCTGAGCATAGATGATCAGTTCCCTGATCATTGGCTAGGTCGTTGCGCGTACGCGCGCATGGCCAGGTGCGTCTTATCTCTCACTTGCCCCGCCGGCTTTTGTTTTGAGTTGTAGAAATGGAATGATTTAATACCATGACAACGCGTCGTGCAAGGTGCGTTTGATCATGAGTTTCAAGTGATGTGAAGCAAGTAGAATCTTGCTTCTAGCTTATCATAAGTATTCCTCTCGCGCCATTGTGAAGGAGTGGCGAAGTTGGGGGATTTCATTCTGCCCAAACTCCGGCGGTGAGTGTTAGACCTCAACGTTTTCCCTCACAGCAAGAAAGACCTGTCCCTTGAGAGCCTCAATAACGCTGTTCCGTATCCACCAGCCGTCACCTTCCTCCTTAGCCTCCTCCTCGCCTTCAAATTCCTCCTGCCGCTGCCCTGGCTTCTGCAGCCCATTGGCAACAGCAGGAGCGACCTTCCGAGTTTCCACTCGATCTCGAACATCCGCCCATCTGAATAAGAGCTTGAGGCCTTGCAATCTCTCCCGTGAAAAGCTTTTGGCACTTTGTTCCAGAACGAGGCGTGTATCAACAGCAGAAGTAACGGTCACGCTCCCATGCATAGCAGCATTACCACCGAGCACAAGTTCCTGCTCAGCATGAGAGAGGCCTTGCAATGCTTCGCCGCGAAATATCCACACCAAAGGGTCGTGTTGGCCCCCGCCGTGCGTGGCGTCCGCCAGAGAGCTGCGCCCCAGCGCACGGAGCGTAGCAGAGAAAGGAGCCTCGAGAGGGGGACGTCTCTTGAGGAATAAGCTTGGGTTCTTGGCCATTGTTGTCAGAAGCGTCGCATCGCTTTTCAAGTCCAGTTCCACATCCCAAAAGTCAGGACCAGCATGAGTGCGAAGAGAAGCGATATCTGACAGTGGTGGTAATAGACAGGGGGTGGTACGAATCAGAACATCGTGGTCCGGATTTAATGATGACGAGTGAGCCGCGGGATATCTCATGCGTATATGGATAGGGACGCTGATAGGCTGCCCTGTTGCGACATCTTTGGCCACTAGACATCTCGGATCGGTTGCGAGGACCCAGAAGTGACGGAAAGCTTGCAGATGCGCGCGGTTGTCCATCACCGATATTGGAAGCACTGGATAGAAAGCTACCAATAGACAACCGACGGCAAGATCGCTGGTACCGAACGTTGTTGTCCCACAACCAAGAAACAGTGCTCCGATAGCAAGGTGTGCTGCCAGATGCGAGCCATAAGGGGTGCTGGAGTCATTACGACCATGTAAAGATCGTAAGCGTCGCAGCACAACTAAGTCACCTGTACCAGCCATGACGATGGATGCCGATAGGGCGAGGATATCTTGGCACATACGTGCGTTTGAGCGTGCAAGCTCCTCATCGTAAATTGGCCGATCAAATTGTGGAACTCGTTTCGTAGAAACAATACGTGAGACACGCATGAACTGATCGAGGTAGTGAATGAGGATATCGCGAGCTTTCAGCGAGCCACTTCCGGCGAACCGCAATGCTAGAGAGAAGCAAAGACCTGCGAGGATGCTGAAAAAAGGAAGATCAGTGCTCTTCAAGATTATAGTGCCAGTCAGTCTATGGCGGAAGCGGAATGGCGTGGGTAAACTTTGCGCGATCCACTCGAATGAAGGCTCGATCTGACTCCAAAGAATCAAATTCTTTGCAACAGTACGCAAGAGAAGGATATCTGGACGAATGTAGTCGAATTGCAGGACCGATTCCGGCACATCGATCTTACGCGCCACGATGTGGTCCTCCGACTTCATGAAGATAAGAGCGAGAGCCATGACTGCGCCTGCAGCAGCACGATCCAAAATTTGCACCATCTCGACCTTCTTGTTCGCCGTTGCAATGCCGATGAGCTTTTCAGTAAGTCTCATATCATGGAGCCCCTTGAGGTCTTTGCCTTTGCCAAGGTTGATGAATCCAAGCGAAAACCCAGCAGCGAGGCGGTAACACTCACTCCTCAGTGGCTCAGGGCTTTCGTCCTCACCAACATGCTCGATCTCGGACATCATGATCTCGCTCATCCGCCGATGTTGACTACCGCAATAGAGGAGACCGATGCCCATGATGCCAGTCGTCTGGGTTAAGGGCGAGATGTTCAGCTCAGCTGCTCCACGTGGAAGCATACGCGTGACATGTACCGACAGGAGACGTGTGATGAGAGAGTCCATAGTACCTAGGTACGATGCAGCAAGTCCGAGAAGCAGCCCAATCGAGGTCATGGTATGCTTTGGTGTCAAATACTTGAAAGCGACCCATTTCGCAACGTCTTTGAGGTGACCATTCAGACCAAGAGCTAATAAAAACCCTGCATGGCGATTGTTGAGATCCTGACCTGGTTTGTTGAATAAAATCCAGGATGTATCGATGCCTTTAGCCTGTGAGGATATAGCTAAGCCGGCGGCCACCCCTTGGTGAAAAAAGCCCCAGCAGACCTTTTCCTCTGTGAACTGCGATCTGTCTACGCCCACAGTGACATTCGTTGGACGCACGATACAATTGAGGTTGAAGCCTCCGATATGGAACTTTTGTGTCAACAAGGGATATCGTAGACCATAGTAAAGAAGGGCACGACCAGCTGGAATTGCCAACGTGCCTGTAGCAACCCTCGAGACCAGCTCTTTCTGCTTCTCGAGATATTGACTTTCGGTCCAACCAGGCTCAAGGTCTAGGCGGACGATACGTGGTCTGTGCGTGAACAGGAGGTCCTGCGCCTCGTTGAGGCGTCTGTCCTCCTTGAACAAAGCTCTGATGACTGCTTGTCTCTCAGTACCCTCGCCATCATCATAGCCGGCAGAGTTGAACTCATTAAGAGTTTGGCAAATGGTCCGGAAATCCCAGGAGGCGATGTGAATGGGGGCCTGCGAAGGGTTAGCAAAACCAGCCAGGCTTGAGGGCTGGAAAGAACGAACAGTAATGTTGAACGGACGTTGTCGGAGCTTCATGCTAGGTTCGTACATTAGTGTGATATCGCTGCGACTCACCAGCTTCAGCATGTCCTTCGACCATGAGGACGGAGGTCGTGCCTGGCAGTTGGCTATAGCGTCACGTAGGGGCGTCAAAATGGCCTCCGGTAGCGTTTCCAACACGCGGACATCAATTCCCGAGCTATACATGGCCTCAACAATCCCAACCGCATCGTTTCTCGCGCGAAGCTTGGAGAAAAAGCTCTTGAACATATGGGTTCTCGGTGTCATCAAGCCCCACCGTGTATCCGTCGGAGATTGCCGACTAGAGTCTGGTACCCCTTTTTGACGTGCAAAAGCTAGTGTCAGGAAATCTGTCCTGTCACCGCCAGTGAAGTTGGTGCTAATCCATTCGATAACATCATAGGACTTGCCCATAGACTGCGGCGGTGGTATCTCGATAGCGAGAACTGATAAGTTAGCAATAGTCAAACATGGCAATTACAAAGACGTACCGTTGTCATATCGATTTTCTAGTTCCTCTTGAAGACCCATCTCGTAATAGGAGGCAAATTCGTGCCACCTCAGCCAGCGTGCAATCTGCGCCATCAAGACGCGAAGCTCCGCAATACCAGGAGTTGCATATTCTGGAGTGGAGGTGTCCAGCTTTTGTTCTTCGAGTAGAAGGTGTAATCCAATGAAAAAGGCCCAGACTGCACTGTGCGAATCCTCTGTATTCTGAAGGATTGCTGATGATAACGCATATGCAGTTCTTGGTAAATCCCCTTCGATGCTTGATGCGAGGTATGCTTTGGTATACTGAATGTGCGTTGGCAGAAATTTGCAATCAACAAAGTCGCCCTTGGTGTCTAGATCATCGTCATGGTCCGCAGTCCAGTCCCAGCCTCGGTTCTGCTGCCATATTGGGCAGCCAAGGGCATTGGGTGTCTCATGCAGCTGCAAAGAGCGCCAGTCCTCGATGTTGTTCATGGAACCAAATGAGCCTGAAGGGGGTCGTCTGCGACCCTTGACCGGCCTCCGCGGAGCCGGGACGACTGCCTCAGCACCTCCTAAGACAAGGAAGATGGACATGATATGAATAACGAGGGCCGACCATTCGGTATCCGCCACCTGCATATCTTCTGCCTGTAGCCACATCATGGCTTGCCACCAGCCTGGTAATATTTTCTTGGATTGAGACGAGGGCAGAACGCTGCGGCATGCATCAAGAACCTTGCGAGCCAAAGGGTTGCGGGGTTGCAGCTGGATCTGGATTTGGTGATGACGCCTCTCAGCGTCCACAACATCCACAATGCCACCCATGCGAGAGTATCGAAGAGCACGGATGATGCCATTCGCCGTATCCAGTGCTTCAGACCTTCGCTGTCGTACATCTCGATCGATGACACGACCGATGTATTGTAGGCTGCGCTCGTTCTCGAGTAGCAATCGAGGAAGAGTAATGGGTGTTTTCTCCAGCCATGGTGCCTGAATACTGAGCTCGCGTCGTCCATCATTGCCTTCGGATAGTATGAGTATCGCCGAAAGATCGCCGTCCTCAACTTTACAAGCATCAACAACGGGATGTGCTCGTCGTAGCTGGCCACAGGTAACTCGAAGGGCGTTCGAGTGAACTTCAGGAAGTTGGGCTGATCGGGGTGGAACGAGGAATTGCCCACCCTTGTGTATGTCGATTGTAAGAAGTTGCAACTTCTTATCCACTGCATCTTGGATGCCAAGTATGAGCTCGCTCCTCTGATTATCATCAACGGAGAGCTTGGGGCTCGAAAGAATAAAGACACTGCTCTGGTACCGCGCAGGCTGACTCGATACGGAGTAACGAACGTTGGAGCTGTCAATATCAATGGTGTGGACCTTTGTGAACACCACTTCTTGTGCTAATCCGTCACAGTCGTGATCATCTAGACCCATGCTGTGAAAGCCTTCAAAGTCACCTCCTGCTCGCAGCTCGTCAAGAACATTGTCGATGGGAGCCTCGAGTAAGCTACCTAAGCTAGGGTGGATGGTCTGGTTGTAGTTGAGAGAGTGGCGGCCACCTTGGGTGCCAAAAGAGTCCCTGATCGAGCTGCCGAGATTTGGCATCAGCTGCTGTTCTGAAAAGGCGGATCGTTCTTGTGACGCGGAAAGATCAGCACGAGCTAACATGGAGCTGACTCTGCGTGACTGTCTTCGAGTGGCGCCTCCGTCTTTATCCGCATTCAGAGAGCTAACAAGATCAAGTGGCTTGTCCGACTTTTCAGTCCTCTCAAGCCTCTCAAGTCTTTCGCTTTTCCTCTGCCGCTTCCCTGGCAAGGGCGCGCCAAAGCTTTCCCTGAAGTTAACCTGAATCGGTGTAGAAGCCCCACTGGCAAACTGTGGCTGCATCGAGCTGCGGCGTCTATTTGCTGCGATATCGCTCTTCTTGCTCCTCTGGACAGGATCATCGCCGTTCTTGTTGTACGATAACCTCCATAAGGTGTACGTATTTGCTTCTCTATTGACTGTAACGGCGAGGATGAGTGGGTCGTTTTTCGGCGGCTGTAGTAAGCTTGGAAGCTGTACTTCCTCGATGTAAAGTATCTCTTCGGCGGGGTCTAGAAGATATGGCGACTTGGAAGTTCCTCTTCTTGTTGCTGCCTGTTGCGCTGATTGAGGATCTGTAACGACGAGACCGATATCTTGTAGTGGGTCAATCAGAGTCACCAGCCTCGGCCACTTAGACTGTGATTTCCCTAGGGGGACCTCCCACATATCTTCTAGTGTCGAACCCAGCTTAAGAGGTAGGCTTCTCGGGTTTCCCAAGCCTTCTATTGAAAAAGTGGTTTGCTGTGAACCCTGTAGAGATGGGGCTGTGATCTGGGAGGAAACGAACGAGTTTGGAGGAACCTTGGGGAACTTGAGTGATACCGGTATGTTGTTCTCAGTGTGATGCTTCCTTTGTATGATGACGCCCTGCGGCGCAGCGCAGGCGGCCTCAACCTCGAAAGGCATATGGATGACATGGCTGGCCCCTGAGACAAAATGAAGGTGGGCTTGGGTTTTGAGAAATACGATCAAAGCCTTGGACGGCTTCTTGGAGGTTTCCGGTGATACTGAAGACCTCTTCTTGTTCTTGGGCTTCGGTAGCTCATCATATGCGGGGAAGTATGCCAGCAGTGCCTGCGTGATGGGTTCGTTCTCGAGGTCAAATTTATAAGACTTTCGAAATATTCCACCTCGGCTCCATACGACACACGTCTCGGTTACGAGAAGTTCGTCTTCCACAGCGGGCGTATCGCGCTTGTCGGTGTTTATTTCCCAATGCAATGAAGAGAGGTTGGTGCTCTGCGGAAGACCGAGTTCCTCAATTGTACGATGTAGTGCGGTCGGTTGGTGCAGTCCCAGAGACTTTACCGACGCCATGGTGGATGGGCTCCATAAGCAGCGTCGGATATGTGCGTCAGATATTTCGGGAGCCTTGGGGATCGAAAAGGACGTTTCAACTCGATATTCGTGCTTAGACGTTGTTGTGGTGGATCGTTGATGCTCGTTCTTATGGAACGCGTTCAACGCGCGACTGCTGCTTCCTTACCCACCTTCACAGAGACAGACTTACTTAGGTACCTATTTCAGGTTGATCAATCTGGAAGGGAGCTTGCGGGGTGGTGGGGGTGTCTCTAATTGGCCCGGAAGCTAGACGACGCCCCAGTCTACTCACTGCTGACCTAAGTAGAGTTGGTGCAGCAAGTCAACAGGAAGCTTGGGCCACTCAATCAAGATGAACGTGACGTCAAAACACGCTGCCTACCTACCTAGGTATTTCAACCAGAGTCGCCAGTCCAAGATCATGAGATTTGAGCAGGATCAGGAGCCGTCTACAACCAGCCTGAACACCAAATCAACATGACAACACTGTTGCATTCCGTATCATCGACAAAATGACGAACGTATCGCCCGTTTGGCGGGACGACGATACTCCTCAGATGGACGCCAATCCACTAGCCGAACCGGACACTGATCCGGACAAACATGTGTATAAGGGAAAAGGGCGGGCCGGCGACATCGTCGACGCTATTGGCACCAATATTGAGGCCTCAACATCGAGATTTACCACCAAAGAAGATGCTCATGGCGACGAAGAGGGTGACAAAGACAGCGAGAACGACGAAGATGAGGACGAGGAAGACGAAGATGAAGACGAAGACGAGGATGAGGACGAGGAGGAAGACGAGGAGGAAGACGAAGATGAGGAGGATGAAGAACCGAGACTCAAATACGCTCGCTTGACACAACATCTTGGTCCTGTTTATCGCAACGGCGATGCTACAAGCGCTTTTCTAGTGGCTGGCGACAAGATGGTAAGTGTACTATACAAACAGCGCTTTGTATTACTGCTAATATTATTTGCTCAAGATCATTGGAACACATAACGGCAACATAGTAAGTGTAAGAATGCGTGGTTCCAATTTTGCTCTAACCATGCGCAGCACATTATACAATTACCAATGTTTCAGACCCTTCGCGTTTACCACGCTCACTCGGCGTCTGTTACCGGGATCTCGATATCTCCTTATCCCCCGCCACTACCAACAGAGAAAACCGAGAAAATCTTGAAAGGCACCTCCCAGAACACGACGGGTGTGCCAAGGCCGGGGTCAAGACATTCAGAGGCTTCTCCAGCAGCTGCTTCGCGTCGATCAAGAGAGCCGCACTCAATCCCGAACACCCCTTCCAATAATATCCATATCGCCACGTCATCCATGGATGGCAATGTTTGCGTACAAAGTCTGGTTGATTTGAAGGATGTGCAGTTGCGCAACTTTGCGAGGCCTGTACAGACGGTCGCCGTCTCTCCGGACTTCAGAAATGACCGAACATACCTCTCAGGGGGCACTGCAGGGCAGCTTATACTCACTGTTGGCGGTCCCACTGGCCGCAGTACCTCGACAACTATTGGCACTGCAGCGGCTGCGGCATCGGGCTGGCTGGGTAGTATGGGACTTGGGGCAAACACTGGCCGTGACACCGTTCTGCACTCAGGGGAAGGCACAGTGAGTAACATCAAATGGTCCTTGTCTGGTAAATATGTCGTATGGCTCAACGAGACTGGAGTCAAAATCATGCGGAGCAATTCGCAACTACAAACCACGGATTCTGATGACGCATGGAAACGCATTGGACATGTTGATCGACCGCAAACAGACGAGTGGGAGGCCATGGCTGGTGTCTGGAAAGGAAGGGTCGAGTGGATTGACGAACAGACTGTCGAAGTGGATGACGAACCGGGTCGTGAGGATGCGGCTCCGTCAATAGTTGGCGAGAACTCTCAGCAACAACAAATTCTGATCACCAAGAAGATCGAACGGCTCATCGTTGGCTGGGGTGGCACCATCTGGATAATCCATGTACACCCTGGTGGCATTGGTACTGGCCTAAATGCCGGCGAGAAGTCTATTGGGCGTGCAGAAATCGCTAAACAGTAAGTTCTGTTATTCATGGCATCGGAGGGCGTGCTAACAGTTCTCCTAGTCTCCGTATGGACTGTACCATCTCCGGCATATCGCTATACAGCCAAAACCTCCTCTTGGTGCTTGCTTATGGCCACCCGGGAGGCGAAGACGATGGCGATAACGAGGAAGAAAGCAGAGCAAGGAGCCAACACCACAAATCCCACTCATCCGCCGCTTCGACAGGTACAGTGAGTAGTGAGCCATCAGGTGGCATCCGAAGACGACAAAATAATCCGCCACCTGAGCTGCGTCTGATCGATTTGGCTTCACAATCCGAAGTTGACAAAGACGATGGCCTCATCGTCAGCCGGTACGAGAGGCTTTCGTCAGGAGACTATCACCTCGGCGTGCTCCCTGCTCGCAATGCTGCTTCGGCTGTGGCCTCTTCAAAGGGCGCTCTCGAATCCTTGGCCGGTTTTGGCAACGATGTGTGGAATGCTGCTATCAACCCCAAATCACTGTTCAGTTCGGGAGTTAGCACCAAGTCTAAAAACAGCAATGACGGAGGCTCGAGCAACGCTGGCAGTATGAAACCGGGACTTTCACGCGCGGCAGTGCCGTCCGTACATCCAAATCTCCTCAAACCAGGGTCTAAAATCTTTATCCACAGCCCCTATGATTGTATTCTTGCTACGAAGAGGGACCTTGGGGATCACTTGAACTGGCTTCTGGAGCATCATCAGTACCAAAAGGCCTGGGAGCTATTGGATGACAATCCTGACATTATGGCACCGTCACCTCCCAAGCTTGGCGAGGTTGGACCACCAACACCGGATAAGATCAACACGGCCGCAGAAGCAGTGTTCGACGACGCGTCGTCTGTGGTCGAGTCAGTTACCGCAGCAAGACAAGCCAACTCGACGGCTCAAAAGGAGAAGCGACGCATTGGCGAGCTCTGGATCCGAGATCTCGTTGAAGCCGGCGACTGGGTGGCAGCGGGACAAGTCTGCGCCAAAGTTCTGGGATCATCTGATAGATGGGAGAAGTGGGTTTGGAATTTCGCAAGCGCCAACAAGTTTGACGATATTGCACACCACATTCCTGCGCAGTCGATGCACCCTCCACTTTCTAGTGCGATATATGAGGTCGTCTTGAACCACTACATTCAGGCGGACAAGGTGCGATTCAGAGATTTGCTCGACAGATGGCCCAGTGAACTTTTCGACATCAATACGGTCACAACGGCCTTGGAGAATCAGCTCAAGTATCGCGATGTGAGGGAGGATAGTGTCGAAGCTGGCGAGAGGGGTCGTGATTGGCGCATCGTCATGGAGTCGCTGGCAAAATTGCATGAGCTGAACGGCCGATACAGGGAATCGCTTAAGTGCCACATCAAGCTACAGGACGCGGACTCAGCCTTCCGGATGATTCGAGAGAACCACTTAGCAGATGCCGTGGTCGACGATATCCCAAGTTTTATCGGCTTAAGGGTACCCTCTCACGAGCTTAACAAGATGAGTGAGTTTGATCTCGAGGAAGCTACATCTGAGGCCATCACATTACTTGTCGACGAAGCACAGCACGGACTTGTCCGGCCAGCAACCGTAGTGACACAACTTGAGGAAAGAGATCTCACTCTTTTCCTTTACTTCTACCTGCGGGGCCTGTATAAGGGTGAAGGCATCGAGGAACATACCGGCGAGAATCGTGAAAGACTGCAGCAAGAGAGTAAGTATCTGGTGGACGACTTTGCCGATAAAGCAGTTCAGCTTTTTGCTAAGTATGACCGATCGATACTCATGGACTTCCTCCGCTCATCCACTTCGTATGCATTCGAGAAAGTGAGTTTGTTCACCCCTTATCAGACAATGACGACACTTAAGGACTAATTAAAATAGGCGACACAAGAATGTGAGCGGTATCGATATGACGACGAGTTGGTCTATTTATATTCCAAAACAGGTCAAATGAAACGAGCGCTGTTTCTCATTATCGACCGGCTCAAGAACGTCAAGAAAGCAATTGAATTCGCCAAGGAACAGGACGATCCCGATCTGTGGAGTGATTTGCTTGATTACAGTATGGACAAGCCAAAGTTCATTCGCGGACTTCTCGAACAAGTCGGCACATCCATCAATCCGATTACGCTAGTTCGACGAATACCTGAAGGCCTCGAAATCGAAGGATTACGCGAGGGTCTTGCTCATATCATGAAAGAGCATGAGATTCAATTCAGCATCAGCTTAGGCGTCGCGCGTGTCCTCCGCAGTGAGGTTGCCGCAGCGCAGAATGAACTACGCATCGGCCAACGTAAGGGCATCAAATTCGAGGTTGAAGTGCAGGGACGAGATCACGTTGATCTGTCTGTGCAAGAGGTACCAGCACCACCTGTCAAGGCCGAGGAGGTTCAGCAAACGCTTGAGGACGATCACACGGCGGGAAAGGACGTTCAGTCGCCAGCACATGCCAATTTCCAAGGACCTCCCAAGCCAGGCCACTGTGCTCAATGTCAAGAGGCTTTCACGGACTTTGAGATGGAGACCTTGATTGGGTTCGCGTGTAGCCATGTTTTTCATTTGTCGCATTTGTTAGAGGCTCTATACCCCGGAAAGAAGCAGGAGGTGGACTTGGGTGCTGATGTGGCTGATCGACCTGGCCATGGGTGGCGTGTTGGACCTAAGGTGACGCATGCGCGGCTGATGAAAAATAAGATTCGTGAAGGATGCCCAGTATGTAAGAGACCTAGTTAGAGTAATCGTTCGAGATCTCGGCAAGGACTCGGACTCTGTACCTGCCCCACTGCTATTCATAGCCAGCGTGATCGAATCGCGTGGAAGCATGTAGTCAGTGAAAGCTGAACCCTATTCATTTACCGAGTCCTCTTGACCCGTTCATTTGGAAGATTGGAGAGCTTTCTACCCAAGCAATACTACCGCTATCGATTTATTAGCAAGTAGACCGAACCTCGGCTACGGAAGACTGCAGGCCGAACTAGCTTAAAACCTAAATTTTCTAAAAATTAATAACTAAGCCTACCCCTCTACTATATAGACCCTTATAAGGATCTATCTATTATTAAAGTAATACTTTCTAGACTATTAAATACTATAAATAAGATCTTATATAATAATCTAAGCGTAAAATCGTATATAGTATTATATCTTAAAAAAACTATTCTATAGTAAATAAGTTTAAATAAGTTTATATAACTTTATATAATAGGATTATAGCTTTATATAATAGGGTCTAAAAACTAATATTATAATAATAATCCTTTCTATTTTATAAAGCCTTAGGTTTATTATTAAAATATAAAATTAACTTATTTTAATTAGATATTTTATTCTTTTTATAATAATTCTATTTTAAAGGATAATAATAATCTTAAATAAAAGGATTCTAATAATTTTAAAGAGATCTTAATACCTAACTCTCGACGATTAAATAATTTAAAAGAATCCGAGATTCTTTAATATATAAAGAAGCTTAAGTTATAAGGATTCCCGCCCTAGTTAGTTTATATAATAGATATAGCTAACTAATTACTCTATATATATATTAATAGATATATTAGAAAGAATTAGATTATATCGTTTATTAAGCGATATTTAAAACTTAAATCGAAATACTATTATATTTACGATTATAAAAGAGCTAAATATAAAGATTTAGCGAAAGTTCGGGATTAGTTTTAGTTTATAGCGAATATAATCGTAAAATATAGTATAATAGAGTCTAATATCTATAACTTCGACGAGACTAGGTTTATAATAGGTATTCTTCGTACTATAAAGGTTATTATAAACGTAGAAAGGTCTTTAAAACCTTTAATAATATAGCTTAGGAATAAGGAATAAGTTATAATTATTTAAAGTATTAATATATCTAATTATATAGTTTTACTATTTATTATTATTATAAGTAAAACTTAATTCGAAAATTAATATTAAAATAATTTATTATTATTATAAATAATTATTATAATAACCGAAAACGGGTAAATAATAAATAAAAAAGGCCGAGAATAGATTAAGTATTTCGATCTTTATATAAAACTATAAATAATTAATATATTTTATATCTTTATCCTTAATAAATATAAAAGTTATTACTCTAATAAATTCCTTTAATACTATAAGAATAATAATATTATACTTCTCTATATACCTATTTACTTATTATATTTACTTTAATTTCTCGATATTACTTATTTCGGACTACTAAAGGCTTCTTATAATAAATAAATCGAGATAATATTATAAATAAGTATATAGTATATTACTAAAGAGGACTTTTTCGTTATATTTTCCGCTATATTTAAGGAGACTTTTACGGAAAAAAATATATAAGCGGGCTTTCAGGGTACTAAGCTTATTCCTTATAACTTAGATTATATTATTTCGAAGCTAGTAGTAATATAGAAGACTCTAACGTTTCCTAGGAGTAGTACTAAGTTACTTAAACCTTAAATATTAAAGATACTTAATAACTTTATTAAAGCTAATTTATATATTAATTATATTATTAATTAGATTAAGAGATATTAAAGAAGCTCTCTAACGTTAATTATTAAAGTTATTAAATAATAAAGTAAAGTAATATAGGTTATAATATATAAGTATACTCTTATCGACGAAGAGTTTAAGATTAATTAATAAGAGCTTATAGCTATTAATAGACGTTATAGAGTTAAAAAAACCTATATATAGTATAAAGGACCTCTTACTATAAGTTAAGCCTAGGTTTTAATTAAGTAGAAAGATCTAAATATAGTTATAAAGTAAGAAAACTACGTAAGTAGTAGTCGCTAGACGTAGTCCTCTACGACTACGCTAAGGTATAATAACTATAGCTAGCCTAGATATAATATCCGATCGTATTAAATATATATAGATTATATTAGAGTAGATAATTTCGAGTAGAGATGAATTAATTTTCAGTATCATAGTTAATTTTATAGAGGTTTTATATCGATAAGTATAATAGGGTAGTCTACTCGCCTAGGTAGTCTACTCGCCTAGGTAGTCTACTCGCCTAGGAAGTAAGTTACTTAAAAACGTATAAATTAGAGAGGAATTACTATATAAGGGGAAGTAATAAGCTTAGTTAAAAATATATATATATTTAGTAATCTAAAAACTAGAAAATAGGTCTAGGGGATTAGATCTATATATAATAGACTAAACCTCTAAATCACTGCCTGGACGGGGCGCTTAGACTATCTTAGGACTTACGGGGAAGTAGAGTTAGTTTTTATCTAGCTTAAAAGCTAAGCTAGTAATAGATAAGAGAGGTTAACGGCTTATTACTATAGGATAGCTCTATAGAATATTATAAAAGGAGTACTATGCTATAGCCCCGCTCTTTCTCTTTCTAATAATATATATATCGATATAGTTTAGCTTTTATCTTAGCTACTAGAAGGGTTATAAAACCCTTACTCCCTATAATTATAAGTATAGAAAGACGTTCTAATATAAATATAAAATAACTAAGTAATTAGGAATAGATTATAATAAGCTAAAATATTAATACGATTAGATTCTATATACTACTATATATTATAATTATAGGTAAAAATTACTTCTTAACTTAATATTAAGATAATATAATTCTATATAATTAAAGAATTATAATATTTCTTAATAGCTAAATAATAAACGAAATTAATCTCGATTAAATCTAGTATTCTAACTAATATACGAAAACTAAAAGGTTAAATAGTTATTACGTCTTCGTCCTAAATAATTATAAAAGTTACTACTTCGTCGAATTCGAGCTTTATTATAAAGAGAATAATGTTATTATACTCTATATACCCCCTTATTTATCGTATCTACTCTTACTACTTAATATTAATTATTTTAGCCCGCTTAAGAAGATATATTATTAGTAAATCGAGATTAAGATAAGGCTAGTATAAGCTATATTATAAAGGAGGACTTCTTATCTATATTTTCAGCTATATTCTAAGATATAATAATAGAAAATATTATCTAAAGCGGTTTTCAGGGGGCTAGACCTATACTATATAACCTAGAAGTAGTTCTTTTAAAGCTAGATATAAAGTTAAAGATATTAACGTTACTAGGGTCGTCTTACGGGCTATCCGACCTCTAGACTTCCTAAACGCTTATAACTACTATATAAGCTATTTCGTAGTCCGATTTTATTTAAGGTCGTATTATTCGTTATAAGAGTAACTTACTATAATTAATTTTAGACGCTATCGAGTAGTTTACGAAAAGTATACGTAGTATAATATACTAGATCGCCTTTTTAAAGCTCGAGGTCCTAATACTTCGAGATAAGAATACGACCCTTAGCTAGCGCTATAGGGGTAAAAAGAATATAACTCCGATAGAGGGAGCCTTACTCTAGGCGAGGGTTAGGACTAGATTACCTAAAGGGAGGTAGATTCTTAGGTAAAGGAGGAAACGTAATAAAATCCAGCTCCGTCTATATACGCTACGCTAAAGAAACGGAGTAATAGCGTCTACGGATAAACTAATTATAATACTAGAACTTATTAGTAGGTTACTCTATTATCCTCTAATAGTAATAAATAGTTTTTATTTTAATTTAATATATTATTATTATATACTAATAGCCTAGATCTATAGAATAGGGGTTATATAAACTACTCGCTATATTAGACTACTTACTATATATCTATATTATAATATTAGTATAATAGTAAATATAGTTCTATAATTACTAAGGGATTACCCTCCTATAATTACTAACTAATAGTTATATAATAGGCTCTATTTTTTTATATTTCTATAATACCTATAATACCTAGCCCTAACCCTTACTTCTTGCAGACCTCTTTGTCGTCTGGCCGCGTCTTCGCTGTGCGTTGCAAGGCAAACACCG